TGAATGTTTGGCTCTGGAGACAAGGTTTTTGAAACACAGCTTCAGATGACCAAGCTTCATGTAAAAATCATTCAGTGTGGTCAAAGGAAATATCTGTGAGGAGCAGTGTGAGGGCCTCATATGTAGATTATAGAGCATGTAGTGTCCATGGAGATGTTAATCCTTTGCCTGGAATGTTCCATATGGCATCAAACAGCCATGTTTCTCTGTGGAGATGTGGCCATCTCCACAGAGAAAAGCAGGAATGTCACCAGGCAAAGTGACAGGTCAGATCTGTGTAGAGGTGACCCCACTTACAGTAAGAATGCCTGTTTATTTTAGGCATTCTAAGAAATAAAAACACCAGTAATTGTGTAATATTCCAGGGAAAGCATTAACATCTCCATGGCGACAAGCAGGTGGTGGACCACTCACAGAAATGTTACAAAGTGCACCTTTAATACAGGTGGATGTTGATGTTGGGCTGAAATAAACTTCAATATAAAGCATGAATTTAAAGTGTCCAAATTTCACTATGTAGTTTCCTCATCACCAACAGACCTGGAGTTGTGTTTTGTTTCATTCACACATGTTCCATCCCTCCACCAGGAGCCCACATAACAGACAAAGCAGCCACAGCTGACCTCCACTCCCGATGCAGAGGGCTCCTACAGAGGAAACACTGGAAATCCTAAAAAATATGTCTAAAATAAATAAATATAATAGAATGTGTACAATAAAAACAAGTAAAAGTATAAGATTTCATTCAAAAGCTAAGCTAAAAAGGTGGGTCTTGAGCCTGCTCTTAAAAACAAGAACATTCTCTGCAGCCCTGAGGTCCTCCGGCAGGCAGGTCCATAGACGGGGGCCATAGTGCTGAAAAGACGCCTCTCCGTGAGTGTGTTTCCTGACTTTGGGAATGACCAGGAGCCTGCTGCCGGAGGAGCGCAGGGTCCACGAGGGTAAAAGCAGTTCTGAAAGATAAGAAGGCCCAAGACCATTAAGACATTTAAAAACCAGTAAAAGAACTTTAAAATCGACCCTGAAACACACAGAGAGCCAATGCAGTGATTTTAAAACTGGTGTAATGTGGTCCCGCCCTCTGGTCCTCGTCAGGACACGTGCTGCTGAATTTTGTAATAAATAAAAGTCAGCTCAGAGTCAAAAATGACGCCCAGGTTTTTCACTTGAGGAGATGGGTTAAAAGACTGTGTTTGGAATTTGGGTAAAAGTTTCTCTCTCTGGGCCTCAGGACCAATAACTAAAACAGTTTTGTCCTGGTTAAGCTGGAGAAAGTTTTCTGCCATCCAGGACTTAATTTCTAGAATGCAGTTAAAAAGGGCATCCATTGGTCTGGTGTCATCAGGAGACATGGAGATGTAAACCTGCGTATCATCTGCATAGCTGTGGAAGTTGATTCCATGTTTTCTGATGACACCACCAAGAGGGAGCATGTACAGGTTAAAAAGCACAGGGCCTAAAATGGAGCCCTGGGGCACACCACATGTGATTTTATGGACCCTAGAGGAGCATGTGTCTACACTAACCATAAATGTTCTGTCTGTGAGGTAGGATGTGAACCATCTGTGAACAGCACCGGAGAGGCTGAGGTCTTTTAGGCGAGTTAAAAGAATAGTGTGGTCTACTGTGTCAAAGGCAGCGCTCAGATCCAGTAAAACCAACATGGTTACCTTTTGTGAATCATAATTACCTTCGCCAAGGAGGTTATGTTTTTGCCGGCGTTTGTCTGTTTGTTTGTTTGTTTGTCTGTTAGCAACATAACTCAAAAAGTTATGGACCGATTTTGATGACATTTTCAGGATTTGTTGGAAATGTGAAAAGGAAGAACTGATTTCATTTTGGGGGTGATCCGGAAGAAATCCTGGATTCTGGATCACTTTGAAATTTTAGTTAACATTGTGGTAAATGGGGCCAAAAATTTTGTTTCTCAATACCTCGGTTAATTATTGACCAAACCCATGAAATTTGACTCAGGGATGGACAATGGGATCCTCTTTCATATTTCAAAGGCTGATCTGGATCTGATCCAGACGACTGATTTTATCGCAATTTATATAAAAAATGGGGGTAGTCCTTGGCGGAGGTCTGCACTCTCTGAGTGCTTTTCTAGTTTATTCTAAAATCATTTAAAATCTTTGCCAAGGCGGTCTCGGTGCTGTGGTTCACCCTAAAACCAGACTGAAATTTTTCCAAGATGTTGTGATCGTCTAAGAAATGATTTAGTTGGATAAAAACAAGTTTTTCTAGTTAGACACTAATAATAAAGAGTTACTCAAACATGTGTGATTGAAACAAAACACAACTCAGATCTGTTTTTGAGGAGGGAACAATATGAGAATATGCCTTACAGCTCACAAGAGTCACTTTGTGTATAATGGCACTTTTAATGTAATATTTGACTACAGTGTGTGCTGTGAATCTACTGAACTAAAACCACATACTGTACTCTGAAATCTTAGTAACTTGTTTCCATGGAGATGTTCCAAAGTATGGCATTAAGGTTTTTCATCTTGTATTTATTCATTTATGGTTTATATATATATATATATATATATATATATGTATATGTATGTGTGTGTGTGTGTGTGTGTGTATATATATATATATATATATATATATATATATATATATATATATATATATATATATATATATATATATATATATATATATATATGTATACTTGAGTTCTACTCGAGTACTATTGTTTTCCCCAGTGGTTAAATATGTGGAGTTGCAGAGATGTGACAGTAACAGTTTGTGCCCTGTGCTTCGCACACAGTGTGTGTGTACCCAATCACAGTGTATGTGTGTGTACCTGATAACAATGTGTGTGTACCTGATCACAGTGTGTGTACCTGATCACAGTGGGTGTACCTGATCACATTGTGGTACCTGATCACAGTGTGTGTACCTGATCACATTGTGTGTACCTGATCACAGTGTGTGTACCTGATCACATTGTGTGTACCTGATCACAGTGTGTGTACCTGATCACAGTGTGTGTGTACCTGATCACAGTGTGTGTACCTGATCACAGTGTGTGTGTACTCGATTACAGTGTGTGTGTACCTAATCACAGTGTGTGTGTGTACCCGATAACAGTGTGTGTGTACCTGATCACAGTGTGTGTACCTGATCACAGTGTGTGTGTGTACCCGATTACAGTGTGTGTACCTGGTCACAGTGTGTGTGTGTTGTACCCAATCACAGTGTGTGTGTATCTGATCAAATTGTGTGTGTGTGTGTGTGTGTGCTGCATCCAATCACAGTGCGTGTTTCCTGATCACAGTGTGTGCGTGTTAGAGATGCACGGATGGGCTATTTTTTCATCCGCAACCGTGACACAAAACTCATCATCCGCCCGCTGTCCATTTTGCACCGAAGGTTTTCAAAACCGCACCCGCCCGCCATCCGCCGATTGATTTTAGATTTTAGAACAATCATACAGCAAACAAACTAAGGAGCCTCGATAAAAATGCAAACTCTATAGCTCATTCATTCCAAAATTCGCTCAGCGTGTATGTTCACATTCTTAATTGTCCGTAACAACCCCAAACTTACCTGGTTTTCTTGCGCAGCTAATTAATTGACAATGTTTTCCGACTAGGCTATTTTTGAACCTTCTTGCCTTCGTGTTGGATGTTGTTACATTCTGAACATTCTGCCATTGCCCGATGTTATTTCAAAGTCATAGCCTCACTCCATCTGTCTTTCTTTAAGTTTTAAATACCCCGAGTGGCAGTCTACGTTATAATGTCTGCGTGTTTTAAAATATATCTGATATCGAAACAAACTAGACAGATCATCTCATCCAGATGAACCTTTATTGAACTCAGGCAATGCCCTCCAATTGAAATAGGCAAGAAAAAATATGCATAACTAAATAAATATGGCCCTATAGCCACTTATGTGTTGGCAAACAGCTGAAATAAATTAGAAATAATAAAATAAACTGCATATAATATGTGCCTCGTAAACCTTAGGCATCAATAACCCGACACAACCTTAACCTTCAGAACATAAAAACGAGGTCAAATGGGCTAATTAAGGATATGACGTACACTTCATACTACAAGCATAGACAATGACACTCGTCTTTTCAGATGTAGGTAACAACTAACATTTTTTTTTTTTTTTTTTTTTTTTTTTTTTTTTTTAGTAGTTAATCCGCCACCCGCCTGAATTTAATTAAAATATAATTTTTCGTCACGTCATCCGCCCGACCCGCGGATCAACCGCGGATACCGCGGTTGTAACCGCAATCCGCGCATCTCTAGTGCGTGTACCTGATCACAGTGTGTGTGTACCTGATCACAGTGTGTGTGCTGTACCCAATCACAGTGTGTGTGTTCCTGATCACAGTGTGTGTTCCTGATCACAGTGTGTGTGTCCTGATCACACCTGATCACAGTGTGTGTGTTCCTGATCACAGTGTGTGTGTTCCTGATCACAGTGTGTGTGTACCTGATCACAGTGTGTGTGTTCCTGATCACAGTGTGTGTGCTGATCACAGTGTGTGTGTACCTGATCACAGTGTGTGTGTTCCTGATCACAGTGTGTGTGTGTGTGTGTGTCTGATCACAGTGTGTGTGTGTGTGTGTAGCTGATCACAGTGTGTGTGTGATCACAGTGTGTGTGTACCTGATCACAGTGTGTGTGTGTGTGTGTGTGTGTGTGTGTAGCTGATCACAGTGTGTGTGTACCTGATCACAGTGTGTGTGTGTGTGTGTGTACTGATCACAGTGTGTGTGTGTACCCGATCACAGTGTGTGTGTTCCCCGATCACAGTGTGTGTAAGTGATCTCAGTGTGTGTGTGTGTGTGTGTGTGTGTGTGTGTGTGTGTGTGTGTGTGTGTGTGTGTGTGTGTGTGTGTGTGTGTGTGTGTGTGTGTGTGTGGATACCTGATCACAGTGTGTGTGTACCCAGGGTAAGAGTGTGTGTGTGTGTGTGTACACCTGATCACCATCATAAAGTTGTGTGTTTTATTGTTTCTCAGTAACAAAGACGATGAAGCCCCCAAACGTATGCTTCCTCTCTCTGCTCCTTCTCCTCATCGTCAGTCATCAAGGTCAGTACTTCAGTACTTCAGAAAGATCATTTCCAGTGAAAAAAGTATGACTATTTAAAAGTACATTGAAATGGCTACAAATGTTATAACAAGTACAAGAAGTTCTTTGTCTGTCAAAATGTACTTAAGTTAAAGGACAAATGCATGAACAAGTACACAGTAATCATTCAGTCCACACTTGGTGGCAGTTTAAGTTACTACTGTAGCCACAGCTGTCCTAGGGGCAGACTCACAGAAGCGGCTGCCAATTTTCTCCATCGGCCCCACCCACCACCAAAAACTACAACTGTCCAAAAATATACTGAAATACAGAATTGTATGTAGTCAGTTACTTTCCATCTATGGTATTCTCTCTTCTTTCCTTATCTCCTCTCTCCTTCTCTTTTTTGTCTTTTCTTCTCCTGACCTGAGGTTGAATTCCCTTGTGTCATGTGTCTTGCTCAGTGGCGTTGGCGGACAGGATCATAGGAGGAGCAGAGGTGGAGCCGTACAGTATCAGTTACCAGGCCTCTCTGCGCTTCTTTGGGCAGCACTTCTGTGGAGGAACGCTCATCCACGAGCAGTGGGTGATCTCTGCTGCCCACTGTTGGAGACCGTGAGTAACACACTGGAACTGCAGCCTGTGCTCTTCCAGTTTTAAAATGCTTCTACAATCACATCTGAGTTTCATTTGTGATTGTAGAATCATTTTGTGTCAACAGATCCTTCACCTGCAGATAGAGGACATAAACAAAGGTGTCTCATTCTCAGTTTATGGACAGACCAGGCCTCAAGTGAAGCTCAGGACTTCCAGAATCCCTCCCTGAGCTGCAGAGGCTGCACTAGCACTGACTCAGGACTGGAGCAAGTGCTGGGGTTTAGGGAGAGACTATTCAGATCAGAGAGAGGCATTTTCGGTTTAACCACACTGGATTTAAACTTTGAACCTGTCAGCTCAAATGAGAGAGTCAAGTGAGGCTCATTCTGCTTTCTGGTTGTATAATTGTCTTGCAAACCAAAACCCTAAATTAAAACAAACAACTTAGACATGGAATGCGACTGGAAAGAGGACAGAAAGAATTTGTTTGGACTACTGAAAATAGTTTAAAATGAACTAGTACTGTTTTCCTGTGTTTAAGAAATTGAAGATAAATATAAAGTAGTATATAGAATAAATACTCCATACCATAGCCTTCTATGCTTACATTTGGTATGTAGCACTATAGTAAAGTACTCTAAAGTGCAATATTTATGTACTGTGTGTACTGCAGGCCCCAGCTGATCCAGGTGGCTCTGGGCAAACATAACCTGTATGAGCAGGAGCCCACAGAGCAGGTGTTCAGAGTGGCCACTCTCATCAAACACTTCAACTACTACTCCAGGACCTTTGACAGTGACATCATGATGATCAAGGTGAGGCTCCACACACACATGTCACACACAACACACACGCTCCAGTACTGTCATGACTCATGTGTGCGTCTGTGCAGGGCAGGTGTGAGTGACAGGTGACAGGTCTGTGTACACAGCTGGGGCGACCAGGGGATGAGGTGCTCATACAATGAACTCTCTCCCAAATGCTCCATGTTGGGACTCTGGAATACTTTGAAAATGTATTTAGTTAGTACTTAATACTTGCATTTAAATGTATTCTGTATTTTTGCACATGCTCCAATCAGAGTACTGTATTCTGAATACCTGAGTACTTTCACATTAAACTGGACTATTTTATAGTGTCAACACTTTGCAGTTTTAGGCTTTACTTCCATGATCTTTTCCTGTGGTTTTAGGGAAGTCACTGTATATTTTGAAAATCACTACATGAAATAGTAACTGTACCAGTGGGCCGCCCATGTCCTTAGGCAAGACACATTTCCTGCTATGAATGAGACATGTTAGTGGTGGTCAGAGGGCTGACTGGCAGTCTCACTTCTGTCAATCTGCCCCAGGGCTGCTGTGGTTACAGTAGTAAAATACAAGTGTGGAGTGAATGAAATACTGCACTGTGAAGTGCTTTGGCTGTTTGGAAAGGTGCTGTAGAAATCCAATCCAAAAAATCTAATTCATAATTTTTAGTGTAATTAGTTATTTTTCAACACTGCAAATGTCCTGATGTCCTCTGATAGTAACCTTCTCGCCCTCTCTCCTTCTCTTCTCTCTCTCCCTCTCTCTTCCTTTCTCTCCTCCTCTCTCCTCCTGTCTCTCCTCCTCTCTCTCTCTCCTCCACTTTTCTTCCTCTCTTTCCTCTTTCTCTCCTCTCCCTCTTCTCCGTCCTCACAGTTGGATCGTCCTGTAGTCCTGACCTCAGCAGTGGGTCTGGCCCCCCTCCCTCAGGCGGACCAGCCCCCTCTCTCCTGGTACACCCAGTGCACAGTGTCTGGGTGGGGGGTAACCACGCTCTGGTCGTACAGTCTGTCTCCAGTACTGCGCTCTGTACAGGTGGACTACTTTCCCAACTGCTGGTACTTCTATTACTACAGAGTGACAGAGAACATGATCTGTGCGGGCTCGTGGAGGGGCGGGAAAGACTCCTGCCAGGTGAGGGCGCCACTGGGCTCATCAATGTTCAAGGTCTAGAATGTGATGATCTCATACTCCCAGAGGAGTTTTCCTTATTGATCACTCTGTACTTCCACAGCAAATCTCCAAAAGGTAAAAGCACAACCTGATCATTTCTATTAATGACTAGAGCCAAGACCTCTCTGTATTACAACACAAACCTGCATTTGAACAAGGTTAATTTGAGCTGTCCCATCTCTACTGAATATGATTGGCCTATTTAATGTTGTGATGTCACCTGAAACCACCAATAAGGGTTTGCTAAAGGTGCCTTGTACAGCCACTGGGACTTTGTTTAAAGTTCTTATGACGGTTAGAGCACTCATCTCATGGTTAGACCAGAATGCCACATAGCCAGGGGGGAATTCGTGAAAATTGTGCACTTCTGGAGTTTTTGACTTTTGGTAGGGTGTTAGGTTTGGGTCTAAGGTTTTTTTTGTTTTTTTTGTTTTGTTTTTAAAAACATGGATACAAGTTGGGGTGCGCCTAGTGGTCGGTTTACATAAAATCCAAAATGGCCCGGGCCGAAAAGAGAAAAGGTTGTATTCCACCTTCCTTTTGTCTTAAATTGTTGTATAATGTAATTTTTCTACTTTGTTTGATACAAGGAATTCAATTCTGATATATTTTATTTTTATTTTTAGTACATTTTTATGTTAAATGTATTATCATAGTCATATTTAACTAAAATAAACTGTCTATATCTCTAACTATAGTGTCAAAGATCACATGTGGTGAGCCAAAGGACCACTGTCCTGGTCCATGGTGCCAGAGCATTCCATGTGTTACAACCAGAGACATGTGCACCTTCCCTGGGTCAGACTAGACAATTCAATTCAAAAAGTTTATTGTAAATTTTCATATGAAACATGTATTATTATTATTATTATTATTATTAGAGAGAGTTCAGCATCCTAACAGCCTGGTGGACGAATCTGTTTGTGAATCTGGTGAGGCCCCTATATTTCCTCCCGGAGGGCAGGAGGCTGAACAGTGACTTGCATCACTCATAATCACACTGGCAGGGCTGGAGCCAGAGCACCAGGGATGCTCCAGAGGCAACTCCTGGTACTCCTCCCACGGACAAGGAGCCCTCGGGCCCAGCCTGACACTCAGTCCTGGTTCAGTCCTCCTGGTTCAGTCCTGGTTCAGTTCGCATTTGTCAAACCTCCCCAGGGGGTCTTTGGTGCCTTCCAGGGGAGGCAGGCCTCACCTATTGAAAACCGCTGCTATATGACATTCTAGTAAAACCATCTGAATCCAGTGGCAAAGCCTGAGTAAATTGGTCAAACACATTCTGGAGCTTCTCAGAACCAGGAAACAATTTCTGCACCTTATTTGACTTGATTTCAGAAATAGCCAGTTTCTGGTCAAGGCTTTTGCATAACAATATTTTTCACATTAAAATGATAGTAATATGTTCAGTATTATTCTTTAAGAATGAACATATGGGTTTAGAGGCCTGAATTATCTTTATACAGTATGTTGTTTTGTTTCAGAGATATGGACTGTTTTTCAAGCAAAAAGTGACCATTACAATAAATTTGACATGAAAATAGGAAGATAATATTTAAATCACATTCCTTCTATCAAGTCAAGTAGAAAAAAATTTCATTATACAACAATTTAAGACAAAAGGTAGGTGGAATACAACCTTTTCTCTTTTCGGCGAGGGCCATTTTGGATTTTTGTATACAGGCCACTAGGGGACACACCCCAACTTGTATCCATGGATTAAAAAAAAAAACTAACACCCTGCCAAAAATCAAAATCTTTTCCAGAAGTGCACAATTCTTAAGATATTTCACAAATTCCCTCCCATCTAACATCAAAACTGCATTCAAGATTACTGTGCACGACACAGTGACCGAATGGTCAGCACTCACACTTCACAGTAGGAAGGTTCCGGGTTTGACTCTTGTGTCCTCCGGGTCTGTTTGTTTGCATGTTCTCCCTGTGTCTGTGTGTTTCCTCTGGTTTCCTCCATCAACCCAAAACATGCACCCTAGGCCAAGATCCTCCAGATAAATTAGTCCTGACCAAGACCATCTTAAGATCTAGAGGTGGGTCCCTGTAGAAGGTGCACCCACTGCTGATAATAAGGACTAAAGGAATAAAAACGTGTTAGTTTTGGTTAGATTAATCTTTATTTGGTTTAATTTATGTTTCTGTTTGTAACTGTCAGAAAAATGTCTTCCTTGTGCGTAAATTCTCTCTGCATTTTGGATGTGTTAATGACATAGGTAGAGGGATTCGGTTTTAGAAATCAGTGCTACTTCCCATATTTTTGTACATTTCTCCTGAACTTTTTTCCACAAACTTCCACTTAATTCAAACCTGTCATATGCACTTTAAGTCCCAGGTCACTTCTGACACACTTGGAGTTGGGGCCATGGGCAAGGGGGGATGTGGAGAGCTAGGGGTTAATAGGAGTCTTATGAGATACCCCATGTTTTTAAAGCACTTAAACTCATCGTGACTGACGAGTGATGAACGCTCAGAGTTTAAGTCAATCAGGAGCTGATCTAAAGCACATTACCCCATCACTGCCCACAACTTGATTTTGACCAACTTAAGAATGTGAAAAACAGAACTCATTTATTTGAAAAAAGTTTGCAGTGGTTCTTCCTCACTTCGCTATGCATTCTGAGCATCCTTATTATTTACCAGAACAAGTTTAGAAGCACTTTTCACAACTTTCAAAGGCCAAAGTGGAACTAGAATGCAAACTCTCAGATTATCAGACAATAAAACACTTTATAATTAGCTGCAGACAGTACACTGGGCTCATTGAAAGTGCAAAAGTACAGCATCACAGTTTAAGTCATGTAAATGAGAAATTTCTGCCGTTATTACTTTTTTTTTTTTTTTTTCATTTTGGTTTTGGAGACAAATAATGAAGAAAACTAGTTGCTTTTTCATTTTGTTATTTTTGATTTTATTTTGAAAAACGAATGATACACGGATTCTTCATCTTCCCGCTTTCTGACTGGTCAACCCCTCCTCCTTCCTCTCCCCCCTCCTCCCCCCAGCTCTCTACAAGCGCAAATCAGTTTTTCCACATTCACATCGCAAAATGTGTTGCAAAAATCAAGGCGCGCAGATTTAAACCTGCTGGGACACATTTGAGAAGTGGCAGTCGCTGAGTTGTGATTGTATCTGTCATAATGGATGCAGATGTCACTCTGTTCATGCAAATATCAATCTACACATTTATTCATATTTTTCTCCTGTGTGTAAATATTTTCCACAAGTGAAAATTTCAGTCCGTAAGTGCACAAATTTTTTTCAAGCACTCATGTGTTTTTTTTCATCGTGACTGCAAATTCAACACACACGTATGTGAAAATAGGTAATTACAAGATCAAAGTTTTGTTCTACACATTCTCACATTATATTCTACAAGTTCTCAAATCAATTTTACACGCTCTCTCATTTTGCAACATATTTACCTTCATATTACAGCACTGTTTTGTCAAAGCCTGATCCAGAAGCTCAGCAAGGCCGGACCTGGTCAGGACTTGGATGGAGACACTGAGAAAATCAGGAGCCACAGGGGGGCGCCAATCACAAAAACATTCACAAAAAAAATACAAAAACAATCATTATGTCCTTAGACAAGACACTTCACCCACAGTGCCTAGTATGCAAGTGGTGTGTGTGTGAGTGATGGTGGTGGCCGGAGGAGCCGATGGCACAGATTGGCAGCCTCACTTCCGACAGTCTGTGTCAGGGCAGCTGTGGCTACAATAGTAGCTTACCTGAATGAATGCAGAATGAACTGTACAGCGCTTTGGGTGTCTTGAAAGGCGCTATATAAATGCAATGATTCATTAATTAATTAAAATAATAATAGTTATTAATTAAAGCAGCTCATCTCAGCTTCAGTTTCAGGTATTCTGAAATGACACAAAGTGGTTTGGTCACAAGGTCACAAGACGAAAAATCCAATAAGAACCACCTGAGCCTCACATGAGTCTGGTCACTCCCTAAACCCCAGCACCTTTACCAGTCATGTCAGTGCTAGTGCAGCCTCTGCAGCTCAGGGAGGAAATTCTGGAGGTTGTGAGCTTCACATGAGGCCTGGTCTGTCCATACACTGAGAATTATAAATTGATAATAAGAAATAGAGGGTTTTTAGATTCTCTAAGGTGTTGATGTCATTCTCCCAGATGGAGGCAGGAGACAGATTTTTCTTTTGATTACATTATACTTGGTCATGCGGTGCATTTTAGCAAAACTCATGTTATCTACTGTTCGTCCCTGCAATAAGCCACCAGCTTATCACCAGAAAACTTCCAATGTGCATCTAAAAATGACACATTAATTTAATGAACATTTAAACCTGTGGATGGTTGTACTAGGACTAGTTTGTGTTGATATTTGTGTTGATGTCGTGATGTTGCGTTGCCAGGGCGACTCGGGCGGGCCTCTTATGTGTAACGGTGAGCTCCAGGGCATCGTTTCGTGGGGCATCGGCTGTGCCTACTCCTACTACCCCGGAGTGTACACTCGCGTCGCCAACTTTGTGGAATGGATCCGATGGGTGATCCAGACCCATGAACGAGCCTGAAGCAGGATTAAAGCCAGACTAAAACAGAACTAAACCAGGACTAAAGAAGGACTAAACCAAGACTGAACCAGCCAATAAATGATTAAACCAGACCCTTGAACGAGTGACTAAACCAGGATTAAACAAGAATTAAACGAGGACTAAACCAGGACAAACCCTGGGCTAAACCAGGACTAAACCAAGGAATAAACCAGGACTAAACCAGGACTGAACCTGGACTAAACCCAGACTCAACCAACTTAGGACCAAACCTAACCTGACAGAATCAGGACAACCCGAAATACCTAAGCTATCACTATAGATCTTCTATTATTATTATTATTATTATTATTATTATTATTATTATTATTATTATTTTCTTCACAAATTGTTAGCATTGTCATGCTACTCGACATGAGCTTTGTTTATGTAAAAATATATATATTATGGGATCCAACTCAATTTGACATTTTAAAGTTTTTGCTCATTTCCCCCTGAAGCTGTATATCAAAATAAAGAGACATATTTATTCAAATGATCCTCTGTCTTTTTTGTGAAGTGGAGGAGAAGGAGAGGCTGAGGAGGCTGGTGGTTCTGCTGCAGTGGTGGACATGGTACCCCATGTCCACCACTGCATTTATATGAATGGTGCAAGAGGTGATTGGTTGAGAGACAAAGAAGCAGCTCTGTGTTGGACCTTCACCTGAACAGTGGGTTTTCTTTGAACGGAACAATGATGTACACTGGGAAAAAAAAACACATAACAGATGACTTAATGAATGAGTGAATGAGCGTGTGCTCTAGGTTGTGTTGGCTCCATTATCAAAAGTTCAAACACACACAGGATAGTGCTTGTGCTAGCAGTGTGTGTGTGCCATTTAAACAGGTCTGAATGCTTTTCAAAGCTCATCTCAGCTCATAGTTTGAATGTAGGAATTAAGTTTACACATAGTTTTAGTTGGTGGTGCATACAGTAGTATTCTGCCTTACAAAGGCAGAAAGCTATGACTTTATGTTTGGTTCAGTTTATTTTGGGGGTATTTGAGACCTCCTTTATCTTGTGAATAAATATTGTGACCATTATTTGTCAGTTCCTGTTCTCTGCCTTTTTATCATGAGCCAAAAATAACGAGTCGTGCATGATGTTTGCCTCATGATACAAAGGCAGAGAACAGGAACTGACAAATAAGGGTCAAATTTTAGCTCAGTATTTTTCACATACAAATATTTCTTGATTATAGCAACTAGTTGTCAAATTTTGGGAGCCCTGCCTATTATACTTTTGTCTGGAACAAAACAGAAACTTTAAAGTAATTTTTCATTTTACACTGAACAGGGTGTGCTGGTGGAATTACAGGACACACAGAGGATGTCAGCCATTTTTGAAAAGAAACAACAACAAAATCAGCCCTGTCTCTACATAAGTTTTCTGGTGGAGGGTGTGCGCCTGCACCTGCCCGGAGATGTGACTGCTTTGCCTGGAATGTTCCACAGTATGGCACAGTGGCACAGCAGGTAGTGTTGAGGAAAACAGCCTTTTCCTCTTATGTTTGTCAGTTTCTGCTTAGATATAAAATAATCTTACTCATCTTTTAATTTTAAAAGCAGAGGGGTGGCAATACTTATCCATAAAGACCTGTCTTTCACAGTGGACAAAATTGTGAAAGATGAGGAGGGATGATTTGTGGCAATCACTGGAATTTTATATGGAGAACAAATTTTACTAGGCAGTGTTTATGCCCCAAATACATATGACTGTGCATTTTACTCCAAACCTTTGGCAGAAATCTCCTCTATATGTTCTACACATGTATTACTAGGAGGGGATTTTAATTGTGGTCTTTCTGAAAAAGGTACTGATTACAGTCTACCCAAGAGTCAATCACCTTCTAAAATGGTTAAAGCTACAGCTGAACTGTGCACTGATCTTGGTCTTTTTGATGTATGGAGGAGTTGTTATTCACATGTAAAGGATTTCACGTCCTCATCAGTGTTTTTCTAGAATAGATTTTTTATTTGTCTCTAGATCTATTCTTGATAGAATTCAGTTGTGCACCATTAATTCATGTGTCCTTTTGGACCACTCATCGTTTTTTGTGGATCTGTTACCACCACACTATGACCATAAGCAAGACGATGGTAACTGGATCTGACCCTCCTGAGTGTCTCTGTATTCGTGAAATATCTAGAAGACCAGTGGGGATTATTCATGGCCATGAATGATACACCGGAGGTTAGTGTCTCCACTCTATGGGAAGCAGGCAAGGCATTCCTTAGAGGCTACTGCAGCAAAGAAGAAGAATGCCCTTGCCAAACAACTGGAACTTGAACAGCTAATTTTGATCTTGGAGAAGGATTTTAAACAGTCCTCCTTGCCCTCTTTACTCAAAAAGTTGGATGCCACCAGATCTGCTCTAGACCAATTACTCACTCAAAAGGCAGAAATGGCAATATTGTATGCAAGGCATAGATTGTTTGAATCTGGAAATAAACCTGGACGCCTCCTTGCCCGACTTACCCAGGGGAAAAGTGGGAATCATGCAATATCTTCTCTCAGGGATAAAAATGGAGATCTGCATTTTGAGTCAAAACTGTACATCTGTAAAATACTTACGGAGTTTTATCAGGACCTCTATTCCATGGGACGTGACAACACAACAAATGCCAGTGAAAGTTTCTTTGATGTAATTGGTCTCCCTGTGTTGTCCCAACAAGAACAACTTGATTTGGGTAAACTGATAAGTACCCAAGAGGTCAGTCATACAGTCTTTACAGAGTGGGAAGGCCCCAGGCCCAGATGGCTTTGGGCCTGATTTCTATAAAAACATGGCTAAGCATATTGTGAGTCCATTATTGAATATGTATAAGGAATCATTCAGATGTGGAGCAGTTCGACCTACTTTGAATGTGGCACATATTTCTTTAATTCTCAAAAAGAATAAGCCTCCTGATATGAGCACATCCTACAGACCAGAAGGTTTGCTTCGGTTAGACTGTAAAAATGTGGAAGAAGTGCTACCACTTTTGGTTAAGCCTAAAGAGACTGGATTTCTAAAAAAAAAAAAAAGGTACTCCCACTCCAACATGCACCAACCCTGCTAATTTTCCCTTTAGATGGTCAACTGAAGGCTTTACATATTTAGGCATTAGAGTATCAGCAAATACCTCTGAATTATACAAATTAAACTTCAAAACAGTCTTGAACTTAGTAAAAGGTGATCTGAACAGGTGATTTGACCTCCCTTTGTCATTACTAGGCAGGATAAATTTGATACTGTATGAATATGCAAATGTTACCACTTAAAATGAATAAAACAACATTTTCTGAGAAAGAAAAAAATTGGTCCAAATTTATATGGCATGGGAAAAAACCTAGGCTTAAAATGAATACTTTGCAACTTCCAGCTGACAAGGGCTGTCAGGCGTTACCGAACTTTAAATATTACTATTGGGCCTGTCATGTCCAAATAGTGTCAGGGTGGTTCCATGCATTTTTACACGAGACTGAACCTCATGTGGACAGTTGGTGCTGTGAGTCTCTTTCACTACTGAGTCTTTTGTCCTCAGATCTGACTAAACTACCAGTAGGGGTTAAAAACAACAACATTCTGTTTGTAACATTAAGAGTTTGGCGTAATATTATGGGTCATCGTGGGTGGAGAAACTTTTCAAGTGCAATGCAGCCTCTTATTAAAAATATTTACTCCTGGTACAGGTCTTAACATATTTCAAAACTGGTATTTCAAAGGTTTGAGATTTGTCTGCAACTTGTTTGAGGAGGGTGATGTTATGTCATTTAAACAAATTCAAAATAGGTATGGAATTTCACAGAAGGACTTTTTTGGTTTTCTCCAGGTGAGACACTTCGTTCAATCATCCCTTTCTTTCCCGGGTGATCAACCCATCTTAAACCCAATAGAAACATTTCTATTAAAATATAATAAGGATACAATACCAAAAAAGAAATTTATTTCTCTTTGCTATGCACAATTAATGGAATCAAAACCTTCCATCACTGGGAAGCGGATATGGGGATTGAGGTTATTGCTGAGACTTGGTTGGGTGCTTTTAGGGAGGCCAAAATTGTTTTTACTTGTAATAAACTCAGGGAGAACCAATACAGAATTTTACACAGACTCCAACGTACTCCTTAATTTTTGCATAAGATTCACCCTCAATACCTTTTTTGTGTAAAATGTAAAAACATTGTGGACACTTATTATCATTGTATCTGGCAGTGTCCATTTATACTCAGGTTTTGGAGGAATGTTGCTACGGAGCTCCACTCCATTTTTCATCGAGCTGTCCCTGTGGAGCCTGTTTTATTTCTTTTTGACCCTATCTGAGAGACTGCCTGTGTTACCAGGGCAGATGATGTTACTACGTAAACTTTTACACTTGGCAAGAAGCTGCATCCTGCTTCAGTGGATACAGGCAAAACCTCCATCTGTTACACAATGGTACAGAGACTTTTAAAGTTTTTCCAACGAAACGCCTCAGTGCCTCTTAAAAGGCAATTCAAACACTTTCTATAAAATATGGCAACCCTTTCTGGACCACCTACCTCAGAACTTGGCTGATGTGCTTTATAAAGGAGGCTCCCAATTATTATTATTATTATTATTATTATTATTATTATTATTATTATTATTATTATTATTATTATTATTATTATTATTAATCAAATATTGTGCAATGTGTATTTCTTGTTCATTCTAGCTCTGACTCAGATTTTGTGACAGTCTTTGTCCATTTAGTTCTATGCACACTAAGCTGTGCTGTATTGTATTGTATTAAAAAAAAAAAAAAAAAAAAAACTCTTGAAACAGAAATAAAGTCCAGATAATTTACTTATTCCAATATTAGAAAGCCATATTTGTAAAAGTATGGCTTTGATATTCCCAAGCACAGGCTCAATGTTTTATGCTGATACAATGACTTTTATACACAAACTACAGTGGGAGGCTACCAGTTTAGCCAGGGCTTTAGGCACGATGCACAGTCCAATGTCCATACTCTATCCGGGGTGTTATCTGGCTAACAAATCATGATATCATCCCTAGCAGTAGTTCTTGTTCTATTTAGTTAGTTTTCTATATCTTGAATATGTCTTGACAGATATCTATGAGTCTCACAGCTGTGATCAGAGCCCTTATCTTCAAATGACCTTGATACAATAATGAACTATAGAAGTGATTATTATACAAAATAGCTAAGACAAGTTATTTATCCTAACAGTAGCACTCTCACCTCACAGTAAGAAGGTCCTGCGTTTGAGTCCTGGGTAGCATTGGGACTATACCCCTGAAAACATGTACATGACTTTCTTGGTGTTGTGTGGAAACGGCCATACCGGCTTGTCAAAGCCTGATCCCGTCAGAGCTCAGAAGCTCAGCAGGGCTGGGCCTGGTTAGTACTTGGATGGGAGATCACTGGGAAAATCAGGTGCCACAGGAGGGCACCAGTCATTAAAAAAAAAAAAAAAAACTGTTGTTGTGTCCTTAGGCAAGGCACTTCACCCTTATTGCCTAGTATGAAAGTGGTGTGTGATTGATGGTGGTGGTCGGAGGGGCCGATGGTGCAGATTGGCAGCCTCGCTTCCATCAGTCTGCCCCAGGGCAGCTGTGGCTACAGAAGTAACTTACCACCACTGGGTGTGGAGTGAATGAATAATGAACTGTAAAGCGTGTTTGAGTGTCCAAAAAAGTGCAATATAAAACTGATGCATTATTATCATTATTATTATTATTAAATTGGATGCCTCCTCCAGATGAGCTGTTTATATTTGTATAGATCCAGTGAAGCCAAACCCTAATCTCCCCAGTGTGACACATATTTTTTTGGATCAGAGATGGGGGTTTGATGCTGTTTGCACACGGTGATCACACTTTATACCTTAGTTATGTCAAATCTAAAGTCATGTATATGAATGTGTGTTGTTCATTTGGACAGTTGTATTCTGCTCAAACAGGCTCCAACTAAAGGAGTACAGATCCACAGGACAATTTAACCATCGAATAATGTCCCACTGTATAATCAACATTATTCACTCATTCAGATGAATTTGGGCAGAGCTCATTTCCACGGGCCCATATCTTCTGTCAAATAAAACTCCACTACAGAAGAGAAAGAAATGACAGGAAACACTCAAATCAAATTTTTATATTAAATATCATTAAATATTATATATTTAACTCTAATGTCACAGGCCACAGTGTGAATTTCCTATCATAATATAGTGATTCTTTATTTATACAGCGCCTTTCTAAACAAAGTCACGTTTTCTACACATGGAAACAAAATAAAATATGATGTAATGAAAATGATAACGATAAAATCAAATATTAAATCCAAACTATTCAATATCTAACGTACGTTTTCTGCTGTAAATCTAACAGCACATGTCGATGAACAGACAATAAAACCAAAACACTTTTAAAATGTGACTTGTTACTCCACTTCATCCTTGGGAGCTAAAATCGAGGACATTGAAACTGGAACAGCGCTTGGGGGTCGTGCACATGAGTAGTAATATTCGGAAACTCAAATCTATGGGACACTGATTAAATAAAGAATTCACAAAGAAAAAATAAAGATAAGTAAGTTAATTAAGCCATCAGACCAAGTTACAGGTCAGATCTGTGGAGAAGTAAACAACACTTGAAATTGAATATATGGCAGATACAAATAATAATCAAATTTTTCTTATTTCTAATATTTTTGTCAAAATTAAACTCTAAGTCAAGTCATTTTGATTTTTATATCACTTTTAAAGGGATGATTCAGAGTCATTCAAACCTCAGGTCCTTAGCACCATGACCTCTACATTACATCTGTAGTCAACTGCTGCTGGCTAACAAGTTGGGTGTAATTAATGACCAAATTGGAAGAAATGGGGATAAATTCAAATGCAAATTGATGATAAAAGAAATGTGGGAACACAGTGAATAATTTTGGAAAGAAAAAAAAAAAAAAACTTAGAAATGAGGAAACATAGGGCTGCATGCTCCCCTTCTAGCTCCATCGACTCTGGCTCCAGTCCACTTTAGCACTACAGATCTTAAATGTTTGTATAAACCCACTCTACATGATCCTGGGGTTTTCTGCTCTCAACATATGAACATTAATACCAGGCAAATCAGGTGTCAGGTTTGACTGGAAGTGTTACCAAGTGCCCGCTCCCTCCTGTCTTCAACATAACAGCCTCCTTCCTGATTTGCTTTGTTGTTGTAATGATACTCACAGTCTGAAAAATACTGACTTCAGTTTCCTTAACAACTCTCTGGCTTCAGGTAATGTCTTCAATAATAGTGCGTAGATATAGCCCATGTGGTCTTACTGTTTTATCAATTTCACCAAAATCCAGTTTTATTTCTTTATAGGGTTGTGTTTAAGTTTATTTTGACTGGTTATACCAGATGCTTTTATTTTGGCGGTGCCACTACTTTCCGTGGAGACACACGGTTCCCCTCAGTTGCCCTGAGGAGAGCAGAGGGAGGTGAGCAGCAGATTTGCTCTACTGATTTATATGTAAAATTTTTGACACGGAATGTTGACTTTATCCGGACGTTGATTGTGCTTTATAAGGCCTTTGCCATTGTTCTTGTTGGTTAAACATGTGTGAAATATAGTTTTTTAATTCAAATACAGCACTTAGAAAATGTACTGTTAGCATGTAAGTTTGAGCTAGCAAGCGCGGTCTCACATGTGTCTGTGCCACTTTATTTCTCTGCAGATGTGTGTGGAGCTGTGACATTTGGAGGCTGTATTTTGATCATTTTTGTGTTTCACACAGGTATGTGAGTATCGTATTGTACACCAGTACCAAATGTTATTTCTTTTTCATATATCGTAATTTGTATAACATGTACCATTTGTACATGATTTACTGTTCTTTTAAAAATATAAAATAGCCATGATTGGGGGATTTACATGAAAAAAAAATTAAAAACTATACGATCACACTGTAAAAATGTGTTATTGTAATTAGTAAAAATTATTATTACACGGCAAACCCCTGTGTGCGGCTCACTTCATCTACACAACACAACGCAGATGATTGCTAATTGGTCGGTTCAAGCACGCCGGTTACATATACATGCACATCAGTATCCCGGTTATGGTCGGGTTTATTGAGTATCCCGGTTTCTTCATGGTGCATGTATACGCAGTACCCTGGTTTCAGTATCCCGGTTATTAGAAACCGGGTTACTGTAGCAGGTATATTCCAATAGTAACCGGGATACTGTGGCATGTATTCGCTGTATCCCGGTTACTGCAACGTACAGCTCCTCTCGGGGGACCCTGAGGCGTTCCCAGGCCAGCCGAGACACATAGTTCCTCCAGCGTGTCCTGGGTCTTCCCCAGGGCCTCCTCCTGGTGGGACATGAACACCTCCCGAGGGAGGCGCCCAGGAGGCATCCGGAACAGATTCCCGAGCCACCTCAACGGGCTCCTCTCGATGTGGAGGAGCAGCGGCTCTACTCCGAGCTCCTCACGTGTGACTGAGCTCCTCACCCTATCTCTAAGGGAGCACCCAGCCACCCTGCGGAGGAAACTCATTTCGAGCGCTTGGATCCGCGATCTTGTCCTTTCGGTCATTACCCAGAGCTCATGACCAGAGGTGAGAGTAGGAACGAAGACTGATCGGTAAATCGAGAGCTTCACCTTTCGGCTTAGCTCCCTCTTCACCACAACGGTCCAATACAGCGACCGCATCACTGCCGAAGCTCCACCGATCCGCCTGTCAATCTCATGCTCCATCCTCCCCTCACTAGTGAACAAGACCCCGAGATACTTGAACTCCTCCACTTGAGGCAGGGACTCTCCACCCACCTGGAGAGGGCAAGTCACCTTTTTCCGGTTGAGATCCATGGCCTCAGACTTGGAAGCGCTGATCCTCATCCCAGCCGCTTCACACTCGGCTGCAAACCGCCCCAGTGCACACTGCAGGTCCTGGTTCGATGAAGCCAACAGGACAACATCGTCTGCAAACAGCAGAGATGAAATCCTGTGGTCCCCAAACCGGACCCTCTCCGGCCCCTGACTGCGCCTAGAAATTCTGTCCATAAATACAGTGAACAGAACCGGTGACAAAGGGCAGCCCTGGCGGAGTCCAACATGCACCGGGAACAGGTCTGACTTACTACCAGCGATGAACACCGCCGGACAACCTCCCCAATCGAGGTCAGCAGCTCTCCCCCCGCACTGTAAACAGTGTTGGTGAAGAACTGCTTCCCCCTCCTGAGGCACCGGACGATTTGCCAGAATCTCTTTGAGGCCGTCCATTAGTCCTCCTCCATGGCCTCCCCGAACTCCTCCCAGCTCCGAGTTTTTGCCTCTGCAACCACACGGGCTGCAGCACACTTGGCCCGCCGGTACCATCAGCTGCTTCAGGAGTCCCACGAGCCAACAAGGATTGATAGGACTCCTTGTTCAGCTTGACAGCATCCCTTACTTCCGGTGTCCACCACCGGGTTCGGGGATTGCCGCCGCAACAGGCACCACAGACCTTACGCCCACAGCTCCGAGCAGCCGCATGGACAATAGATTCCGAGAACGAAGCCCACTCGGACTCTATGTCCCCAGCCTCCCCCGGAATATGTGAGAAGTCCTCCCGGAGGTGCGAGTTGAAGGTCCCTCTGACAGAGGGCTCCACCAGCCGTTCCCAACAGACCCTCACTACACGCTTGGGCCTGCCAGGTCTTTCCGGATTCCTCCTCCGCCAGTGAACCCAACTCACAACCAGGTGGTGATCAGTTGACAGCTCAGCCCCTCTCTTCACCCGAGTGTCCAAGACACGCGGCCAGAGGTCAGATAACACGACTACAAAGTCGATCATCTACCTCCGACCTAGGGTGCCCTGGTGCCACATGCACTTATGGACACCCTTTTGCTCGAACATGGTGTTCGTTATGGACAAACTGTGACTAGCCCAGAAGTCCAATAACAGAACACCGCTCGGGTTCAGATCAGGGAGGCCGTTCCTCCCAATCACCCCTCTCCAAGTGTCACTGTCGTTGCCCACGTGGGCGTTGAAGTCCCCCAGTAGAACAACGGAGTCCCCGGTCAGTGCACTGTCTAGTGCCCCTTCCAAGGACTCCAAGAAGGCCGGGTACTCTACGCTGCTGTTCGGCCCGTAGGCCGACACCACAGTGAGAGACCTGTCCCCGACCCGAAGGCACAGGGACGCGACCCTCTCATTCACCAGGGTGAAATCCAACACATGGCGGCTGAGCTGTGGGGCAATGAGCCCACACCAGCCCGCCGCCGCTCCCCGCGGCCAACGCCAGAGCAATGGAGAGTCCAGCCCCTCTCAAGGAGTTGGGTTCCAGAGCCCAAATTGTGCGTGGAGGTGAGGCCGACTATATCCAGTCGGTAATGCTTAACCTCCCGCACAAGCTCAGGCTTCTTCCACCTGAGCGAGGTGACATTCCATGTCCCCAGAGCTAGTCTCCATGTCTGGAGATCCGGTCGCTGAGGTCCCCACTGTCGATTGCCGCCCAGATCCCTTTGCACCGGCTCCATATGGATCTTCCCGTGAGTGGTGGGCCCATGTGAGGGCGGCCCCACATCGCTCCTTCGGGCTAAGCCCGGCCGGGCCCCGTGGGGTAAGGCCTGGCCACCAGGCGCTCGCTGGCGAGCACCCACTCCGGGTCTGGCTCCAGGGTGGGGCCCCGGTGACGCCAATCCGGGCGACGTAACTGGCCTCTGTGTGTGACTTATCATACGGGACTTCTGAACCGTTCTTCGTCTGACCCGTCCCCCCGGACCTGTTTGCCTTGGGTGACCCTACCAGGGGCATGAAGCCCCCGACAACATAGCTCCCGGGATCATTCGGGCACTCAAACCACTCAAACTTATGTTTCGTCTCTGTAAAACGTAAACAAATGTGATCAGAGCTGAATTCTATTATCAAACGGGCTCATGTGGCTCTATAGTGGTTATGGTTTATATGTTGTAAAGTTGAGTTTATTTATGCAGAAGATTTTAATGAATTGGATTGTGGGATATCTCATAGCTCCTCACGTTGGTTAAACCTCCCGAGCTTCTTATGCTAAAGGAGCTCACGGTTTGTATTTTTCCTGGTTTGTTTAAATTGATTTAAGTTAATTTTTGCGCTTGCGCATTTGTGAGATTATGTCAAGAAACCGGGATACTCCATTTGATCGTGTATACAGGGATATGAGTATCCCGGTTTCTCAGTGTGCATGTATACGCAATAACTCGAATACTGACATAACCGGGATATGGCTAATAACCGGGATACTGATGTGCATGTATACGCACTCAATGTAACTGAATAATGCAACAGTCACCAAGTCCAGTTTCAGATTTGAATTAGGGTTTGTTGAGAAATTTGATTGTGGAGTAGGCAGGGTATGGAGCGTTTTTTCAAAAAGAGTAAGAACAAAGGAATTAGTGCAGTAAATCATAGTCATAAATAATGAGTTTAAATTCATGGTTAAACAGAATATAAATGTGGTGAAGAATATTTAACTCAACCAATCCACTTTATTTCTATCGCACATTTCATAAACATTTTCCAAAGTACTTCTTCACAAGTACTTAATAACAACAATAATAAAATTATCAAATAAACAAGTCACACAGCACACAACTCACGCGGTGTTAAAGTCAGAGAGTAAAAGTGTGTCTTCAGACAAGACTTAAAACTCTCCACTGTGGGGGCTGTAGGATCATGGAGGGCAGAGTGTTCCAGAGTTTGGGGCTGGTCACAGAGAAGGTCTTATCCTCCTGGTTTTAAGTCTCGTCTCAAGCCCCACAAGCTGGAGCTGGACCTCAGACCTCAGAGTGCACTGGGGTGTAAATGTGGAGGAGGTACAAGGCGTATTGTGGAGCCGGTCCATTCAAAGCTTTAAAAACAAACCATCCATAAGACAGATAATGGAGTCCACAAACAGCTTCTTCCAGCTCAAGACAAAGTGTGGACGGGTGTGTTTGGGCTGTAATTATAGGCTTGGTCTTATATTATAGACTGGCAGCTGAAAGGGCAGCATAAGGCAGGACAATGGGAGGGCCCAGAAAGAAAGCAGGACTGGGAAGAGGGATTTTCTACAGTTGGAACCCCAAATATGAAACTCGGCTCCAAATTGGCTCCTATAACTGCAGCTTCAATGAGCTTCATTTGACTGAGCCGAACACTGTGGGTGATGTCACACTAGCATTAAGTAGTATTACTACTACTGTTAGCACTGCTACTACTACTACTACTAGTACTGTTATGACTATTGTTACTACTGCTATTACTGTTACTACTGCTATTACTGTTACTACTGCTATTACTGTTACTACTGCTAATACTACTACTACTACTACTGCTGCTGCTGCTGCTCGTACCCATATTATTCCTGCTGTACTTTAGATAATTGCTTCAATGCAATGTCATTCACATGCAGTGTTGGGGAGTAACGGATTACATGTACCGCTGTTACGTAATCAGAGTACAAATTATGAGTAACTGTATTCCGTTACAGTTACTGCTTCACTGAGTGGTAATTGGATTACAGTTACTTTGCTGAAATAAGTGGATTACAAGGCGGTATTTTCCTGTTTTCACATTTTGTGCTACATCCCATTTATTTATTTTTTTTATTTCGGTAATTCCACTCATTGCCGGAAACCCAAACAGAACGCGCACAATAAATAGCGATGTAAACGTCATGTTAAAGTTGGCGGTGTCAGTCACACAGTGGAAGCAGTAGTGCATTGGTAAAAACGCATGTGTCTTGGAAATTCTTCTCCCGATGTGAGATATATATATAAAAAAACAAATATAAAATCGCCTACAACTTAAATGTGAAACAGGAGCTACTGGCACAACCTGCATAGACTCATAATATCTGCACTACTGTCCTATAGTGACCTGCGACATGAGTGGACGTGCACACAAACACACACCTTCATCATCGTCATCAACCTGACAACCCGCGGACCACGTTTCCTTCCGTAGTTACTGCGCGGACACCGCCGTCTCGTGCGCCGCGTGTGGACCGTGTTTTCTCGCGTAAACCTCCTCCTGTGCGCCTCTAAACCAGAACTAACACCAGGACTAAACCAGGATTAACCCAGGACTAAACCAGGACTAAAGCAGGACTGAACCAGGTTTAAACTAGGACTAAACCACGACTAAACCAGAACTAAAGACCTGGTCTAGACCTGGTCTAAACCAGGTCTAAAATCAGGAGTAAACCAGGTCTAAAAATCAGGACTAAACCAGGTCTAAACAACACGACACCTAACAGTAGGTTGACATAATTTAAGGTGATCTCATATAAAAAAATAATTTCTCTATCAATAATATTTTTTAATATGGTGAAGGAAAGGTTTATCTTGTTACTGTCTTTTAACAGACAAAACCTCTTATATTAAGATCTCGTGGTCTTTGTTTCTCTACAGCAAACAGTTGCTTATTCATGGAGACTTGGGCTCAGACAATTTGAAGACAACAGACAAGAATTTTCAGGATGTGGTTGCTACATTCATGTCGTTTAAAAAAACATGACAATATCAAGTAATCCAAAGTAATCAGATTACGTTACTCACTTTAAGTAATTTAATGGATTACGTTACAAACTACATTTTGGGGTGTGTAATCTGTAATCTGTAGGGGATTACATTTTAAAAGTAACCTTCCCAACACTGTTCACATGTACGGTGGTGTATTGCTATCACTCCCCAAAAAATATTTCGGCTCAGTATCACGTAATTACGTGAAAAGTTTCACGTTATAACGTGATATTTTTCACGTTATAACGTGAAATTATCACGTTATTTCATGATATGAAATTATCACGTTATTTCGTGATGTGGTATTTTCACGTTATAACGTGAAATTATCACGTTATAACGTGATACGACATTATCACGTTATTTCGTGATAGGCATTTATCACGTTATTACATGATATGAATTTATCACGTTATTTCGTGATAAGCATTTATCACGTTATTATATGATATTTTCACGTTATAACGTGAAAACGTCAAGTATGGTTTTACGTGATTTCATTATAAGATCAGCCACAGCCAAACCACGCTTCCCTCGGTCCAGTCAACTCCAGCCTGAGCTTGGCCCACGCTGAAAATGTGGATTCTCCACTCTTGAGATTACTTCGGGCTCGTGTTGTCTCCTTCGCATGAAGCAAGATCGTGTAAGTGTATTTTACTGTTTCGTCCCCAAGTTATGTTGTCGTACGGTAGCAGAATGTTCTGTAAGCAACTGCTGAATATTAGAGCTGGAGCGAGTTGTTCGCTGTGGGTAGAGCTGCTAAAAGTACCTAGTCTGTTTGCAATTCTGTTATAGCTCCTAAGAATTAGTTAAAGACAAAAGCATTCATTTGACACATTTCGGTGTTTCCAGTTATTTATGAATAATGACCATAAAACATTGTTGACTGTATGCACTCAGACATAGCCAGTGTAAGAGAAGGTTATTCAGAAAATGTGGTGTAGTTAGCTAAGCTAAGCCCCACTTCAACTCATCTGAGCCCGGCCTGGGCAGGGGAACAGCGCTCAGAGGTCCCGGTGCTCCTCCGGTTCAGGCCGGGCTCAGATGATCTGGAGCGGGGAGTGGTTAGGTGCCTCGGCCTGAGAAGCGCTTTTCTCGAGAAGAACCAAGTGCACGGAGGAGGCTCAGAACAGTAACGAACCAGACCGGATTCGCGCTTCTGTCTGGATGCTTTACTCCACCTCAGAACCAGCCGCAACGCTACACCGGAGCAACCCGCACGGACCTAGAGTTCACTGCGCATTCTCGCTTTCCCCGCACGGAACCAGCACGCAGAGGCACGGAACCGCTCAGCGATGTCTTTACTGCTGTTGGCTGCTGCTGTTACCCGAACTCAGAGCTTCTGGGCTGATGTGCAGCGAGTTGTGTACAAAGTTGTAGCCTACATGTGCTGTTTTATGAGTTTATGATGATAACTTGGGATGAGGACGGCCGTGGTGTTTTATGGTCTTTATTCATGAAGAACTTGAAACACCGACATGTGTCAAACGAATGCTTTTGTCATTAACTATGGAGCTATAACAGAATTGCAATTTTAGCAGCTCTTTGCCCACAGCGAACGACTCGCTACAGCACTCGTTCAGCAGTTGCTTACCGAACATTCTGCTATCTTGAGGACGAAACAGTAAAATACTCTTACAAGATCTTGCTCCATGGGAAGGAGATAGTGTTCTCCTTCGTTAGGAGCCTAAATGTGCTTCAGATTTAATTCTGATCCACTTCCTACTGACCTAAATACGCACAGCAACATTTGCATTGAAACTGTACATAAAACACCTTTTACAGCAAGTATCACAACTAGGATGTAGATGCTTACATTTAAAAACATGAACCTCAACAACTCAAAGTTGGATCAGTGACATCCTAATATTAAATCTCATTATTTAACAAAAGAAGCAGCAGATTTTTTACAATGTAAACGATGTTTATTTTATTCATTTATTACAAAAACATTTAGGCTCCTAACGACTTAATAAACAGAACCGCAGCAGATCCGGGCCAGATAACCCGGTTCTGAACGCGGATCCAAAACGGGTCCTGGGCGGGTCCGCGAGATACGCAGCGGATCAGCCGCGCCTCCGCCGCGGATCCGGAAAAATAAGACAGTCACGCTTCCCTTCGGTCAACTCCAACGTGAGCATGGCCCAGGCTGAAAGTGTGGATTCTCCACTCTCGAGATTTCTTTGGGCTCGTGGTGTACCAGAACACACCAGAACACTATCTCCTTCCCATGGAGCAAGATCTTGTAAGAGTATTTTACTGTTTCGTCCTCAAGATAGCAGAATGTTCAGTAAGCAACTGCTGAACGAGTGCTGTAGCGAGTTGTTCGCTGTGGGCAAAGAGCTGCTAAAAATTGCAATTCTGTTATAGCTCCATAGTTAATGACAAAAGCATTCGTTTGACACATGTCGGTGTTTCAAGTTCTTCATGAATAAAGACCATAAAACACCACGGCCGTCCTCATCCCAAGTTATCATCATAAACTCATAAAACAGCACATGTAGGCTACAACTTTGTACACAACTCGCTGCACATCAGCCCAGAAGCTCTGAGTTCGGGTAACAGCAGCAGCCAACAGCAGTAAAGACATCGCTGAGCGGTTCCGTCCTCTGCGCGCTGGTTCCGTGCGGGGAAAGCGAGAATGCGCAGTGAACTCTAGGTCCGTGCGGGTTGCTCCGGTGTAGCGTTGCGGCTGGTTCTGAGGTGGAGTAAAGCATCCGGACAGAAGCGTGAATCCGGTCTGGTTCGTTACTGTTCTGAGCCTCCGTGCACTTGGTTCTTCTCGAGAAAAGCGCTTCTCAGGCCGAGGCACCTAACCACTCCCCGCTCCAGGATCATCTGAGCCCGGCCTGAACCGGAGGAGCACCGGGACCTGAGCGCTGTTCCCCTGCCCAGGCCGGGCTCAGATGAGTTGAAGTGGGGCTTAGCTTAGCTAACTACACCACATTTTCTGAATAACATTCTCTTACACTGGCTATGTCTGAGTGCATACAGGCAACAATGTTTTATGGTCATTATTCATAAATAACTGGAAACACCGAAATGTGTCAAATGAATGCTTTTGTCTTTAACTAATTCTTAGGAGCTATAACAGAATTGCAAACAGACTAGGTACTTTTAGCAGCTCTACCCACAGCGAACAACTCGCTCCAGCTCTAATATTCAGCAGTTGCTTACAGAGCATTCTGCTACCGTACGACAACACAACTTGGGGACGAAACAGTAAAATACACTTACACGATCTTGCTTCATGCGAAGGAGACAACACGAGCCCGAAGTAATCTCAAGAGTGGAGAATCCACATTTTCAGCGTGGGCCATGCTCAGGCTGGAGTTGACTGGACCGAGGGAAGCGTGGTTTGGCTGTGGCTGATCTTATAATGAAATCACGTAAAACCATACTTGACGTTTTCACGTTATAACGTGAAAATATCATGTAATAACGTGATAAATGCGTATCACGAAATAACGTGATAATTTCGTATCACGTAATAACGTGATAATTTCGTATCACGTTATAACGTGATAATTTCACGTTATAACGTGAAAATACCACATCACGAAATAACGTGATAATTTCATATAATGAAATAACGTGATAATTTCACGTTATAACGTGAAAAATATCACGTTATAACGTGAAACTTTTCACGTAATTACGTGATACTGAGCCGAAATATTTTTTGGGGAGTGATAGCAATACACCACCGTACACATGTCATCACTGATTGCAAAACATGCAAAAACCACATTTGTTCATGACCACACCCTCTGCTTTAGACCCGCCCCCTCCTGGTTTAAAGCCTAAAAGCAAACCTCTGTTCATTTCAGCACTTCAGCAGAGTCCAGGACAGAGCTACTCAAACATGGAAGGAGTGAACGGGATGAAAATGAGACTGAAGAATAACATAGAGGAGATTTTGATGGAGAATCATAAAGAAGAGGTTTTGCCAGCAGATGTGTTGAAAAACATGATTTCTGAAGCGAATAAAGTGAAGAGGAATGCATACTGTCCCTACAGCCAGTTCAGAGTGGGGGCCGCTCTGCTCACCACAGACAACCACATCTACACAGGTACCGACTCTCAGGAGATTATGGATTTTTTTTATTTTTTTTACATTAGGAACAAAATGACATGACATTGACTTGTTCTGCAGAAAAGACTTTTAACCATGCTCTAGTCATTTCCCTTCACCATTTACACACTCACATTTAGAGTGATTCATGCATGTTTGAGTATTCTTTAATAGCTTATTTTCAAGATGTCATATCAACCTCTGTCTTCACCTCCATCAGTACACACCCACTGTGATGTACTAACTGATGTTCTTAAATTTTATTTCTTCATCAGTGATACACGTAGGATTTGCTAGTGTGATGTGCAGCTCTACACAGGAGGGGCCCACAGCCCCTTGTAATTTATTACAAGGTTAAAAACTGTTTTGTTGATGACGTTTACGGTGACGTCAGCTCCCACTGTGCATCATAGTTTTCTAACCTGGAAGTCAGAGCACTTGTTTCTTTTATTAAGTCATATTAGATCAATATTGTGCTTTAAAATATTCAAAGTATAAGATCATGATGCACACACAGTATTGCACTGCTTAGCTACATAGTGTGTAAAAAGACACGGAAAAATTAGAACACAGGCACTTCACCTGCAAGCAGAAGATTTTCATTCATATGTTTTTATTGTTGACAAAAATGTGATATTTTTAACCCAGAAGTCAGAGCTTTTGGAATAATTGCAACTAAGTAGTTGACAAGAGAACACCGTTATAACTTGGTTAAAAATGTGAGACATTATAAGTCACTGTGCATATACTGGTCACTACAGCACAGTGACTAGAGCTGAGTGTTTACAGTCAGGTCTATGTCACATTTGAGAGGTGTTCACTGCACAAAGGGAAAGTTTAACGACCACACGAACAGGACAGAGAGAGAAGGAGAGGAGGAGGAGAGGAGATAGAAAGGGGGAGGAGAGGGGAAGAGGGAAGAGAGGAGAGAGAGGGGGGAAGAGGCTTTTCAACTTGTACAAAGTGATGACCGCAAGTTAGCACAACCAATGTAGCAACACCTGCTCCACCTTTTCTGTGAGGGCCACTTCATGTTCCCATGGCTTCAGCAGGTGAAGACCATCCGGGATGACTGTGGTCTGGTCCGTGTGTGTACCTCAGTCATTCAGCAGTGTTCACTTAAACTGACAGTGGAACAAATCTTAAAAGATCATACAAACGTGGCAAGGCCAAATCAGGGAAATATCATTTGATGAATTGAATGTAGAATTGAGAAGAGAATATATACTTTAAAAATGTATTATGTGAACATCTTAAATACAGCCAGCTCATCTGTAACTTCAGGACTAATAACAGCAGGATTCCCAAGGTCAGTGGCAGATACAAAGGTCTGGAGAGATCAATGAGGACTTTATGTTCAGGCAACTCGGTGGGAGATGAAGGTCATGTTTTGTTTGTGTGTACACACTGAAAGATGATGAAACTCAGAGAGAAGTATGTCACGTGGTTTGGTTGTTTTTAGAAGTTAAAATGTCTATAAACTGTTCAGATCGAGAGGAGAGAGTCACTGCAGCATCAATAAAGAAAGCTGAGAATAAAAAGTATAAATAATTTATTACAAGGTTAAAAACGAAATACAAATAAAAAAATAAAAACGGGGATCCTCGATAAAAGAGTTTAAGAGGTTAAAACACTAGGTGGGCCAGGGTTAAAATGAGGGGGGCAGTTTGTAATGTGATGTACGGGGTCCAATTCACCTCTAATCTGATTGGCTTCTGAAGTGCCTCTGTTCTGTCAATCAACTGAAAAGAAGAACAACCGGAGAATTCATTGATCACTGACGCAATTCCATGCCCAAACTCTTCACGGCAGTAGACCTAATGCGTCAATACAAAGTAATGGGAAAAGAAACAGACCTTCAGATTTTTTTTTTCCTTTTTTTGTTTTTTTACTGTCTGTGCTTGTATTTGCACCATACTGAATTTGTGTGTTGGATGTACCCTGTACTTGGCCCCTGAATGTAACATATGGCCCCCTAGAACCGCTACTTTTCCCACAGCCCCTGTAGACAAAACAGACCGACAGCAAAATCCAAGCACGACAGGCTGATACTTTACAAGTTTATCTGTGTGAGGGGGGCACCACTGTCTTGCTTCTGTTAAGGTGGAGCTCCTCACTTCACCGCCGCGTGGACACAGCGCCATGGTGCAGCTTCTATAGTTTCTGTGATCCTCCCTCATCCTGTCGCTCGAGAACATCCACACAGACTCTTTGTATAAGTACTGCTCTCTTCTATTGGATTAAGTACATTCCCAGGTCTTTATTTCTGTTTCAAGTGTATTCTTGTTCTGAGCACAAACTAGGTGTTTTGAAAGGCACTATATAATTGCAATGATTAATTATTTAACTAACATTTATAACCCTTAAGCTTTATGATGAAATTGTATGACTCACATTCTTCTGAGTAAGCACACATTCATCACAATGTCTGTTGAACTGTAACAGTTTCTCAAGTCAAATTTCAGAAAGTGAACACAATAAGATATAAAACCTGTTATTTTATTTTGGGATATTTGCAGTCGCGAAAGCCTGACTTTAACATCAAGAGTGTAAAACCTAGTATTGAAGTGTAGTTCTTTTTTTAATGAATGAATGAATGAATGAATGTGTTTTATTTTATTTATTTATTTTATATATTTTTTTTTGTGTAGTTTGAAGATTGAAGTGTAGTTCTTGTGCAGGGTGTAACGTGGAGAACGCATGCTATAACCTGGGCATTTGCGCTGAGAGGAACGCCATGTCCAAAGCTGTATCTGAGGGCTGCAGGTCCTTCAAGGCCATCGTCATCACCAGGTAAAAACAACCACAAGAACACTAAGCACTGTGGCCATATCGGCTTGTCAAAGAATGATCTCGTCAGATCTCAGAAGCTCAGCAGGGCCTGGTTAGTACTTGGATGGGAGACCACTGGGAATTCCAGGAGCCACAGGGGGTCACCAGTAGCAAAAACGTTGTGGTGTCCTCAGACAAGACACTTCACCCACATTGCCTAATAAGAAAGTGGTGTGTGTGTGAGTGTTGATGGTGGTGGGAGGGACTGATGGTGCAGATTGGCAGCCTCGCTTCTGTCATCTGCCCCAGGGCAGCTGTGGCTGCAATAGTAGTTTACAACCCCCGGGTGTGGAGTGAATGAACAATAAACTGTAAAGCGCTGATTAATTGATTAATGATGAATTAATTAATTAACTAACATTTATAATCTGTCACATTACCAGGTATTTTCTACAAAAATCCTTAAGCTTTAGGGTGAAATTGTATGACTCACATTCTTCTGAACAAGCATACTTTCATCACTTCCTCTGAGGTGACTGTTCAGTGAAGTTACTAAGGTGATTGAATCACATGCAGGAACAGATCTTTTCATTTCCTGTGTTGAAATAATGACCCACCCACACATTCCCATATAGTTGTTTTTTTGTCCTTTTAAATTTTAAAGCTGCACTATGTAACTTTTCTCATGGAGTTTGTTTCACTCACACATGTTTAACACACAAACCTGCACATTTAGGCTGAGCTCTTCTCTCAAACAGAAACCACTCTGTTCAACATTATGATCATTTGATAAGATAGGAAGTGCTCCAGTGTGTTTTTAAACTACATACAGCTTCACTAGAGACATTTGGATGATTTCAGCCCTGGAATTGACCAGAGCTCTTGTCTCTACTGAACTAACGCTAAAAGGAGCTGTTGGTTTAGTTTGATCGTTTGTATGATGATGTATGTGAACAGGGACACAGGTGCTCAAATCATCTCTCAGAACAATGACACAGCTCTCAGTCACACACGACACACTTTGGGCCAAACTCTGTCACAACTCAAACATAACTGCAAATCAAAGCACCAAAATGTAGTACAGGCTACATACAGACTATCATATACATGCAGTTCTGTTTGATTTTCAACAAGATTACACATGACAATACAAAAGTAGTGTTGAGGTATTTGCTATTCCAACATTTTTCAATTCAACTTTCTGCATGAATATTTTTGATCAAATACTGCAAAATGAAATTTGTAATTGATAACGTGTAGCATTTCCAGTTCAAAATGTACATATGTGAAGTGTAAACCTCAGAGTGAGACTGTGCTAAACCTGTGTGGCCCCTGAGAGACAGACTGAGGCTCTGAGCTGCTCTGTCACATGAAGAAAAGAGCACAGAAAACACATGATCACAGACTTTGGATGGTCAGTCTGCTTTTTGCTCAATTTTATTTAGTTTTTGCAAATTACAGTTTGAAATAGATAAAAGTCACAAAGCAAATGTTACTGAAAGTTACTGAAACATGTGAATGAACCAAAACACAACTCCAGGTATGTTTTTGAGGAGGCTGGGTTAAAGCTCACAAGAGTCTATTTAGTGTAATAAAAGACCTTTAACAGAAGAAAGGACAGGTTACAAAATATACACAACAACCGAATCAGTTTGAGCCATGTGTCCATAGAGAACATGTGACAGAGCAGATCGCTGTACAGACCCTGCATATATATCTGAATCATATTTTTGACTTGAATGGGTATGCATATTGTATACATACATACTGTGTATACATGAACATACATACTGTAAATACTGTAAATACATTTTTCTGTGTGTTTTTCTAGTGACTTGAGTGAACACATCTCTCCGTGTGGAGGCTGTCGACAGTTCATGAGAGAGGTCTGTTTGTTTTGTGTCTGCTCAAAGTTACATCACAAACCTGAGAGGGAGGGGCCAGGACACACACGGGACACACACAAGTCCAAACACAAACCTGAGAGGGAGGGGCCAGGACACACACGGGACACACACAAGTCCAAACACAAACCTGAGAGGGAGGGGCCAGGACACACACGGGACACACACGAGTCCAAACACAAACCTGAGTGGGAGGGGCCAGGACACACACGGGACACACACGAGTCCAAATACTGATCTGTGAGGAGGGCTGTGAGGTTTAGGGGAGTATGGTTCAGACTTTGGTCAGGGGACTTGTATTTTAGACTACTTTAAATGTTGCGTGTTCATAAAAAGGTAAACAAGCCCATATGTAACCTTTGTGGTGGGGTTTACACCACAGTATGGCATTAAACGCATCCATCTCTATGGAGACAAGAAGGTATTAAGAAGAGTATTAAATGCAAAATATATAAGCTTAATATCAATAAAGCTTCATATTGTAAAACACTGCATAGCAATAATTTCACCATGGAGAAAAGAAAGTGGTTAAAACTCCATTAGAAAAAGTGCATGCACCTTTTGGATAGAAAGATCAAGGAGTAGTCAAAAGAACAGTGCGTCCTCCCTCTGGCCCCACACAGAGTAAATGAGTGGTCAGTTTATATAAAGCTGTGAAACATTGTCCAGCAGAGAAGGTCAAAGGTCAAAGCCATGTTTGTGATGAACCAAAGTCCAAAAGAGCTTTTTCTGCACAATCTGGCAACAACACAGAGGCAGAGACCAGGCACAACAGTCTGTCTACAGTGACCGGTGAATGGTTCTGTTATTTAAGAAAGCCTGACACATGTGTACTTTTTATTTCAATGTAAAAGCATATTTACAGAGATTAAAGTCAAGGGTCTTTTGGACATTGAGATTTCTGAATCTGAAACAGTTTTGAGTTGTTTTGAGTTTATTTACTGTTTGCTTCATGTGTCTGTTCAGTTTTGGCACCTTCAGGGAGAACTGATTTATTGTAGATTTGATCTAATTGATTTAATCGATTTAACTGATGTAACTGGTTGATTTATTTATTTACAAAGCATTTAATAATAGTTCATATGATCTTATAAGAGGGAACTCCCCAAAAGCTACCTTAGCCTTCTGTAAGGGCCTCAGACACAAAAATACATACATACGTTACAATTTCAAATTTATCCCACAGCTAACATCACACACACACACACACACACAAATACATACACATACATATATACAGTCCCTTTGTTAGCATCTGTCCTGTTTCAAACACATTCATAAATTTTTATAGTTCATCCTCCATCATAAAGAGGTCATGTTTCAAGTACTAATGACAATGACATATTAATTACGGACTAGTTTGTTCTAAATTACTGTTGGTTAGTTCATTCTTGCTACTACATTATGTGCATAGGCTGTACTATGGGGTTATAATTGAGTATAATGAAGTAGCAAGAATCTACAATGTAATTAGTTGTGAAAAAATATGGCAAACCTTTGGACTGGTGGTGTGTGTTTCCTAAGAGCCCTTTGTGTGTGACAGTTTGGTGCTGACTGGGAGGTGTACCTGACCAAAACAGACGGATCTCACCTGAAGATGACCGTTAAGGAACTGCTTCCCGTTTCCTTCGGCCCTGAGGATCTGTCCATGAAGAAGCTGCAGATCCAAAATGGCCACTGACCTACTCCAGGACACCACGTTGGGTCCTACTGAACATAAGTGCTGAGACACACTTTGACACTGCCACATGAGCCATATATGTATTTAAATGTGAATATTCCTGTGGTAATGTCAAATATTTAATATTCAAATATGTTATTTAGACAAATGGATAAATATTGAATTACTGGTGGTGTAACTGTGTTGTAGTTTGAACACTTGAATGAACATCTCATATATTTTGTACATGTAAAATTACAATAATCATGGCACATGTTTACTATATTGAAACTGCAATACAATTGAATTTGTGATGCACAGAATGACAAAGTCAGCATCTATTAAAGGAGGTTTAGTCTTGGTTGAGTCTTAGTTTAGACCACCACTTACATGTAATTGGAGATGAAGAGGTTAAAACTACATTGGAACTTTACAGCAAAAGCTACATCATGAACATCTCCATGGAGCCAAATGGAGTCCCATGCGGTTAATGAGTCAGGTTTGTTGAGAGGAAAGTTTAGTCTTGTTTTAGATCAGTTTAGTCCTGGTGTAATAACAAAATACATTTGAACATGTCCTTAAACATATTTACTGTCAGAATTATCTGGCCCTGTTTCAATCAGGGCTTTTCCCTCTGACAGGTGCATCTCCTCACTGTCTGCTCCTCCCATGGAAGTATAATAACGTGGAAGATGAACTCAACATGGCGTTGTGTTATTTTTAATGGCCTGAGTTCACTGGTGCAGTTTTTTTCTTCTGCATTATTTCCTGAATACCAGTCTGGCCCCGTCCACTGTGTGAGAAATGTGCAGTACTGACCAGTCAGAGCAAGAGCTGCTTGAGTGGAGCTCATGCGGGCTCATAGCGGGGTGAGGTTAATCTTACAAAGATCACTTTTAGGCACAGAAGAATCCAACAAAATTCAACCTTTGTGAAAGCTGGATGCCCTGTCAGAACACGGGCAGTTTGAATTCGCAAAAACATGCATTGGGTTTTATGGGAGAATTCTTTCTGGGCCCCAAGTTCCCAGGAGCTACAGTACCTCTGTGTACATGTTTCAGTATACCCGCCTCTGCACCTTAGTGGAAATCTTTTCATTATAATGTAAAAAAAAAAAAAAAAGTGTTTAAAAAAAATATTGAGCCAAATTGTTGTAAATAACATTTATTAAGCAGCAATATTAAACATAACTTTAATAATAATATTACAGAAGGTCAGAGGTATCACAAATCTGATAAATAAAACATTTTAAACAAATCCTTTTCATTTTTAAGCCATTATTATTTCATCTATTCAAATAATATTCTGTTTGTATTAGTTTTTCCTCTATATTACAGAGGCAGACATTTTAGATGGTCCATGCTAAAACAAACAACTCTTCATTTGACATTATTTACATGCAATTCTAATTCAACTAGAGTCAATGAGATGAAAAGGGGAGGATTCAAGTATCAAAATTAGTACCAAGATTTTTAAAAAGGCAATAATTTGTCATGTTTTGTGCACTGGCTCGACAAAAATGTTTAATCAACTCAACTGATTTGATTCCTACATTTTAAACAAGATTATTATTTTTTTGCTTGATAAATGACTGACGTATTCACCATTGTATCAGGTACTTGTTGGTCTAAATCCTGGTTTAGTTCCTGGCTCAGCCCATGGTCCAATCCAAGTTTAGACCCTGGTTTAGTCTCAGTTTAGTTGTCGAATAGTCTTTGTTCAGTCCCTGTAATTAAACCAAAAAGACATGGGTGAGTTCTGGTTTAGTCTCTGGTTAATTTCTTGATGTAGTACAAGTTTAGTACTAATTCCCTAGCACCAGAATAGAGAGAGCGCCCTGTTTTAGTCTTTGAACGGACCTGGTGTAGTCCTGGTTTAATTCTGTTTAATCCTTGGTTAGTCCCTCATTCAGTCCCAGATATCTTCCTGAGCTTGAGAAGACACAAGACCTTTGTGGTTTACTCTGGTTTTTTCTTGGTCAAACCTGGTTTAGTCCTTATTTTAGTCCTGGTTTTGTTGTGGTTTACTCCCAAGTCTGAAAAGTAGATATTAGGGACTTCACAGTGATCTCAAATGTACCTAATAAAGTGGCCAGTGATACTAATGCAGTAACAATATACTTATTTTGACTGTGCTTTTTTATACTGCAGTCAATTCTTATTAGACAAATATAAAACACTGAACTAAAAACCTACAAATAAATATCTTATGTCAGTGCAAAAGGCAATAAGCAACTATTCAAACTTAAACTAAGACCCCAAGACAAGTACAAGGTTTTACAGAGCACCCCATACTATCCTACATATTACGCAAATCTAACTCGTGTGAGCTTTAGCCATGTTATAATAACGTTACCTCTTCAAAAACAGACCTGGAGTTGTGTTTTAGTTCATTCACAAATGTCTGAGTAAATGTTTGAGTAAAGTAAGTTAGACAGTGTTTTCTCTCAGCCTAAAGACATAGGATTTGTGTAAATGAAACAGCTCCTGGTATGTTTTTGAAAGAACATTAAAACAGATCAGAAAACAACGTAATATGGGTCTTTAAAGAGGTCAAATTAGTGAAAACTTCATTAGAGATTAAATGATATCTCATTCTTCATGGCATGTTCTATAAATAAATAAGATCAGTGTTGAAAGTAATGCAGGTTTTTAGTGAATCATTTTACTAATAGACCCTTCAACAGACGACGCTGTGTCAAGATCAGAAATTGTAATGTAAAGTAGTGGTTCTCAACTTGTGGTACATGTGCCAGTGGTGGTGAAGGCACTTTTATCTGGTAGAAGCTGGATGTGAAGTTCAAAACATTGCTCAGTCCTGGGTTACAACAGCTTTTGTCCTGGTAGACTTGTCGATGTGGTCAATGTGCAAAAACACCCCATTAGGACTAAACCTGAACTAAATCTGGATCAAGCGAGGACTAAACCAGGACTACAACAAGACTAAACCAAATCTCCAGTAGGTTAGTCTTGATTTAGTCTTGATTTCATCCTAGTTTCGTCCTGGTTTCGTCCTGGTTTCGTCCTGGTTTCGTCCTGGTACAAACCTGATCTTGAAAATACATAAAATGACAACAAAAGTAGAAATACTTTCGTGTCAAAAATGTGAGAATTATGAATGATTTCTGGAGACTAATGCCTCATTACATGTTGTTTGCTATATGATAGAGCGATGAGGGCCGTGGGTCTATTGAAGTTAGCTAGCCTTCAAATTGCTGATGATGAATGATGATGATACTTCTTATGAACCAAATGAACCAAATGCTTCCTGTAATCACAAAAAATAAATAAATCTTATTAGACACATCCTATTTTAACAGTTCTATGCTTTAAAACAGTGTCGAAAACACAATCCATAGCTGCAAACGTTTCATAGTAGTCGCCGATATTATTTTCTAATTTTTGCCCGTTCTCAACTCTGATTGGGCGAGGAGTTCACATTTTCGTCCAGTTGGGGCCAGGCAGGGACATGTATCCTGGGCAGAGTTCCTTCCATGAGCCTCTCCATCCACAGCCCAAGTCTGTCGAGCTTATGGTGCAGCTCTATGCTGGTGGCTCTGGTAGACCCCCTCTTCGAGACCCCCTCCTCCCGGGAATGAGACCGGGATCGTGATTTAGAGCTAGACCTAGACCTGGATCTGGATTTTCGGGAGCACACGGAAGCGTCGGAGAGGGAGGGTTCCACGGATTGGTCTCCAGTGAAGACGGGTCTGAAGAGGCAGAAGTAACGCTTGTGTCCGTTCAGAGCTAGAACATGTCCGGTGAAGTCCGAGTACTCCTCTTCTGGATCCAAATCGTCGGATTGAGCCGAGCGCAGCAGTGACGGCATCCAGCGCGAATGTTTGTCTGAGTTTAAGAAGGAGAAGTGCAGCGTCTGGGTTCTGCGCACACAGAGGAGACATTTAGATTGAAATATTAATCATGATTGTTTTGTCATTGGCTTTTAAACATTCTTTTGAATACCTTTGCTTGGGTATCTCATGTTTTAGAACTTAAATTAATACTATAAGTAGTATCCGATTGTCTATATCAGAGTAAGTATAAGAGCACACAGACTAGCATACACCCATGGACCACTATAAACCTACTGCACCACTGACGATTACACACATATAAGACACATAGAAATGTTTAAAAACTACTACCATTTAATGCTGAAAATCGCATTCTATTGTCTATGTATCATCATCACTGTATCGGAATCGGTATCAAGTATCAGTTTAATTCCTTAGTATCGAAGTCAAGTTTGAAATTTTAGTATTGTGACCTCTGACACTACTATTTTCAACAATAAAGGCCTTTTTCTAGAAGTGCACTCCATTACTGTGACCTGGTGTTAGGTCGCCATCTACTGGCAGTAGGAGGAATAACTATTCAATAAAGCTAAGATTTGCAACTTTTTCCGACATGCTAACACAATCATGCCTTTGCAATGAATGTGATTTGACAGCAGAAATGCTCAAATTTGTATTTATGGACTTCAAAACCCTCACAGGAGACCTTCACACTTTTACCTCTTATGTCACAAACTGGAAATTTGAAATTGAGTTAGGGGGAGCGGACTTACTAAACTAGCGTGGATGAAACAAAATAAAATTTGAGGTATGTTTTTAATGAGTGAAGAATATTATTCCACGGTCTGTCTCGTTCAAGGCCCTTCAAGGTCTTGTTCTTCAAGGCCCTTTGAATTCCTTTATGTTGAAAATGTGCTCTACAAATAAACATGCCTATTTGAGTGATTCGTGCATGTTTGAATGATCTTGGTCCTGCCTCTTAAGTACTTGAGTTTGATTTGCTTTCATACAAATGAAAAAAGCACTTACAATTATTGTGACAGGTCTATCCTTATCCGTAATGACACGAGTGATATTTAGGCCTGAGCCCCGACAGGGCGTAGGGCCTATTGCTTCTGCTACACGGAGCGAATGGGGAGCGACGAGCGCATGGGCGAATGCAGCAAGACGACATGCAGCTTTGTCCTCGGTCGCCCCCGGTATCCCAGTAACCCACGCCCAAGGCCTGAGCCGAATTTATCACTGCTAAAATGAATGGAAGTCAATAGGAGGTCAGGGGGCGACTCCGACGAGATGGTGCAGACGTTCCTGTCACTCACCAATGACCCCATGGTGACGTGGAGAATGTCGAGAGCTTTCAAACAACGTATAATATGTTGTTTTTGCTAAAATTATTATTACGCCCGAGCGCCAGAGGCCGGCGAAGGGCCTATTAGTATCGCAAAGCGATGCTCCTGGTGGCCCGAAAGTGAAATGGCATGACGTGACTCGCCCGTAGTGACCAGGGACCCTCGCCATGACGTAGCAATGCGCCAGAGGTTTCCGAAAATGTATAGTTTGTCGGCCAAAAAAAACCAGAACATTGTTCTCGTATCAGAATATTATTAGGCCCGAGCCCTGACAGGGCGTAGGGCTTATTGCTTTCGCTACGAGGAGCGAATGGGGAGCGACGAGCGCATGGGCGAATGAGAGAGGACGACATGCAGCTTTGTCCTTGTTCGCCCCCGGCACAAACGGCAGCATCCCAGTAATGGTGCAAACGCGCCCGTCACTCACCAATGACCCCACGGTGACGTGGAGAAGGTCAAGAGCTTTCAAAAAATGTATAATATGTTGTTCTAATGTTTTCGGATATATTGTTTTTGCTTGAAATATTATTGTTATTTTATTTTGTTTTTCTTCTGCTTTTTGAGCTCTAATTTGACCCCCTAAACACGTTCAAAAACTCACCAAACTTGGCACAATATTCAGAAGTGGTGAAAAATTTGATAAAATATAGGTTTCATGCACAGGCATAAAAAAAAAATGGTGACACAGCACCACCTGGAAAACTAAAAAAATTTTGCGTCTATGGGAGACATCCTGGTTAACTTTGTCGTAGAGCCATGAAACTGTGGGGCACCTGTGGGGCATCTAAAGTTATCTAATTTATTTTGATAAGTGTCACGGTTTATGTGCAGCGAAGCCGCAAATTTCAGTCAAAATTTTGGCTAATTTCATTTGCTCCTGTTCGCACAGACTTACTCCGATCGTGCTGAAATTTGAATCACTAATGTGTGATCTCAGCCTGAATATAATACACTATAAAACATATGAAAAGTGAACACTATAGCGCTCCCTGCCATAAACATGAAACGTCAACATTATCGAATCTGCACCAAATTTGGGAATTAAATTCTATGTATGACTACGAGCAAAAAAAAAATATTATGAACATGGGGAATTTTTCACTGTTGGCCAGCAGGGGCGCAAAGACTCCCCCAAAAATATTTTATTATTACACACACATGCTTAGTCTGATCGTGCTGAAATTTGAATCACTAATTAGTGATCTCAGTCTGAATATAATTCACTATAAAAGTGAAAAGTGAACACTATAGCGCCCCCTACCATAGACATGAAACGTCAATATAATCGGATTTGTACCAAATTTGGGAATTCAGTTCTATTAATGACTAGAGGCAAAATCATATTATTGACATGTGCATTTTTTCATGGTTCCCCAGCAAGGGGTGCAAAGAACATTTAAAGGCGCACTATGTAATTTTTCAGTTTGCGGGCACGGCATTTAGGGCATGGTGTTGGTGGGGCACACCATTTGCAGGCGCGGTGTTTGCGGGCGCGGCGTTTGCAGCCGAAGTCCATTTGACGCCACTTGAGGCTTTAATTTCATTACAGTTTCTTACCCAGAGAAAGAGAAGACTTCTTTGGCAAACTTCCGGAGCAGCACGTTCTTGGAGCCATCGGACAGAACCAGGAGCACGTTGATGTGTCCAGGTCTGAGGCGCACTAAGTTACTGATGTAAGTAACGTCTGTGAGCTCAGTCACCTCCACAAAGTCCTTCTTAGGAGGACGGCTGAAGAGAGAGGAGACAAAGTTAGATTTAAATTTGTTAAATGTTTGGTATTCTTTTATGTACTGCAAATATTTTCTGTGAGAAAAGAAATCTTACATATTTTCAGACTTTTTCTTCTTCTTCTAGGGTAACATTATTTTAATTTTAACTATATATTTTTGTCTCATATTATAGTGGACTCACCTGGACGTGCTGCTTCGGTCTCCTGTGTCCTCTGGAGAAGGAGGTTGCTCTTTGGGCTTTGGTTTTTGGGGTTTGTTCTCCCCGGGCTCACTGTGAGAAAGGGAGACAGCAATATAAACTCATATTACATTTAAATATGTTTAAAAATGTATAATTGTAATGCTTGAACTGACCTGAAGGCCTGGATAATGACTGTGCCGAACAGAATGAAGAGAGCAGAAAAGATCAGGGACAGGATCGGCATCATCTCTCTCCTAAAGACAGAGAGGCACAGAAGAGATACACAGGAAAAATATAACTATTATATGGAATGTGATTTGTTTTTATGTAGACACATTTGTTTATTAAAACATTAATTGCCTCACTATCCTGCATGTTTTTTTAGACACCTGTGATTCCTGTGATTGGACTAGCAGAATGTGCTAAAATACTGAGAACAAAAACAATACATATTTAAGATGTTGTCATTTCTAATTCAATTTGATTTGTATGGATGTCCACAAATTATCATCAGTCATTGATAGAACCATAGTTACATTCTTAATGTTTGTTCTATGGCGTTTCATGTAATGCAAAAAGTTATTTTTACCAGTTTGAGTAGAGCAGATCGTCATAGACTTGGATGAAGTAGTCATATGCAGCATTCAACCAGCGGATAATGAAAATCTGAAATGATAAATACAATTACAGCGCGCACCAGAGGACCTGGAACCCCACAGTAAGAATTTTTAGAAATTATATATTTGCGAGGTAATGCAAACATTTGTGCAAAGATGAGCACACATATATCACATTCCCCCTCTCTCACCGGAGCCATCTCGTTGTTGAGTTGTGGCAGTGTTGCGTCCGAGCTTAGGTAGGACGGGTCTTTCTGGAGGAGCTCGATTTCTCCGTGGAGTCTGAACTTATCCTCCTCGCTCCCATTCCATCCTCCACTCAGTGAGCGGAACAGCACTTTACCGGCCTGTGTGCGCCTCTCCAAGATCACCACCTGTTTAAACATCACAAGAGCTTTAATACAGAGCGTTACAAGGCATTTCTGAGCTGTAATATGAGCAACAGTGTCCCGGGACGCAATGTGATATAGGCATTTGTTGTTCATTTGATAGTTTTATTACCTATATTAGGCAAGGCAAGTTTATTTGTATAGCACAATTCGTACACAAAGTAATTCAAAGTGCTTTACAGAATAAGAAATACATTAAAATCATAATAAAAACAAATCTAAACATAAATAATCATGAAGATTAAAATAAAAAAAGAGAGACATAAATTAAAACATATGTTTTGTCAGGTGCTATTTATTCTGATTCCTTGGTCCTAGATGGTTTAGTCCAGGTTCAGTCCTTGACAAAGTTTCGGTCCAGGTTCAGTCCAGGGTCAGTCCAGGGTCAGTCCAGGGTCAGTCCAGGGTCAGTCCAGGTTAGGACCTGGTTAGGACCTGGTTAGGACCTGGTTAGGACCTGGTTAGGATCTGGTTAGGACCTGGTTAGGACCTGGTTAGGACCTGGTTAGGACCAGGTTAGGACCTGGTTAGGACCTGGTTAGGACCTGGGGGTCCTGGTGTAGTCCTGGTGTAGTCCTGGTGTAGTCCTGGTGTAGTCCTGGTGTAGTCCTGGTTCATTTCTGGTTGAATTTAAGGTATGTGACTAAAATTAGCAACTTTACACTGTCATTGTGTAAATGATGAAGGTTTATTGATTATCACAGGTTAATGGTCTTAGTTAAAACAGTGCATCGATCTGCTTTCTCTCAGCCCTGTTGTGTACAAACCAGGCTGTCACTATCTCCTGTTGTTTTTCCGACTGCAATGCACTGCGGTCTCTTAACCCTCCTGTTGTCCTCGGGTCAAAATGACCCGCTACCACGTTAAAAACTAACAAAAAATCATCTTAACGATAATTTTTGAACTTGAAATTTTATGACTTTTCCTAGATTGACCCAAACTTTAGGAAAAGTGAATTGTTGCCTTTATTCACATTATCATGTATGCTGTACAAAAAAATGTACAAAGGTCGTCTTCGGGTCAAAATGATGTAAACAAGACAAGACAGGTGGCCTTGGTAAATGGTCACATTTTTCTACATTGCTTTTCCACCTTCATGGCACTCAAAACGCTTTACAACAAGGAACCACTCACACATTCACACACCAGTGCACACAGACACTGTGGGCAAGGTGGGTTAAGTGTCTTGCCCAAGGACACAATGACAGCATTCATCTGTGGGAGCTGGAATCACATCAGCCAACCTGTGGGTCAGTGGGTCTGACCGCTTTAACCTATGATGTTTATGTCGAGAGCTGGATTCGAACCACCAACCAGTGGGCGAATGCTCTACCAACTGAACTACTGCCGCCCTAGTGGACAGTGCCTTTGATCTGTGGATTTCCAGAAGTTATAAAGGTGCTGCAGATGACATTACCCCAAATTCTCTTTGTGCTGAATCCATGATGTCCAAAAGGCTCTAGAGCTGATTTTTCCAGATACCCAGCAAGACAACTCTGATTCAGACCAGAGGAGGCCCAGAGAGGAACCAGTGGATGCAAGTTGGCTTGATGTGACAGAGGGACTGAGGGGTCACAATGTGACATGTGACAATTTCTTCAGCTCTTATGACAGCAGCTCCTGAAGAGGAAGATCACCATGGTTGGCACAGTTTGAAAGAACAAACCTGAGCTCCCACCTGCACTGCTTGCAACAAAGGAGAGAGAGGTCTTCTCATCAACATTTGCCTTCACGCTCACCACCACCCTAGTTTCCTACATCCCAAAGAAAAATAAGAATGTAGTACTTCTGAGCACACTGCACACAGACACTGGCATAGCACTATGATCACAAGGACAGGAAGCCATCCATCATCCTAGACTACAACTGTGTAACAAAGGAGGTGTGGACAACCTGAATAAGGTGATTGGAACATACAGCTGCAGAAGGATGACTGCCCACTGGCCCCGGTCATCTTCCACAACATCATTGATGATTCCTCCTACAATGCCTTTGTGATTTGGAGAGAGATCAACCCAACCTGGATGCCTCATGAGCAGAACAAGAGGAGGGTGTTCCTGGAGCAGCTAGGAAAGGCATTTGTAACTCCACTCATTGAAAGAAGGAAGCATGTCCCTGCACAGAAGCCTCTGCAGCAGTTGTCAAAGCTATACAGAGTGCAGGAACTCCTGATCAACCTGAGGATCCAGCTGCCACAGCCGCTGCCCCAGCTGGGGCAAGTAAGAGGAAGAGATGTCAGTTCTGCCTGCCAAGAAGGACTGTAAAACACATAATGTGTGCTGTAGGTGTAAGAAATATATCTGCAAGAGCTGTGCATTTGCGTACTGCTCTATACATGTGCTAATTAGTTGAATGAGTTATTGTTTTTTTTGGATTGTATATTTTCTTACATTGTTCACTGGCAAAAAAAAAAAAAAAAAAAAAACCCTGAAGAATCTTATTCATTGGGATGAATAAAAACGCATTCAAAATTCCTTTTTGCACATTTCTTTTGTTTCTAAAGCTATAGAAATGCAGGTGAAAAGGGAAAACTCAAGTATTCACACATTTTGTGGTGAATGTTTCTTCAAGCTAAATAAAATTTGGTGTTTAAAATTCAATTAAACTGCTTATATTGGGGATTTAGTGAAGACGGGTCATTTTGACCCAGAGGACACGGGGTGTATACAGAATATGAGGACAACAGGAGGGTTAACCAGTCTAGTAACCACCACTAGACACTTTTTGTGGGACATTATGAGCACACTATGGTTCAACTGACAGTACTATAATATGGGCTCGACCCCTTTTTAGTGCCCTAAGTAGCAGATAGTGTGAACAATTAAAGTTATTTTAAAATAGAGAACATTTTACCAGAAATTGGGCTGTAAAATATTTTTTCTAAGACCCATTTAACTCAGAGAGGAATTGAGTCCCACAATCAGAGGAGCAAAAATCGAATGCACTGAACAATGTCTTTTCCGTCCCCAAAGATGAAACCTGGGTCATGACTTTTTTTCACTGAAAGCAAACCTTAGTCCACTTCTTTATACAATCTACGGTCCTATCCCACCAAACCAATTTGTAATTAGAAAAGCATAAAAACCTGTCATATGACCGTTAAAGTGCATTATCTAAACTAAATAAGGCTTAAACGAGGACGAAAGCAGACCAAATGTAAACTGTAAAATGTAAACTTATTTGCCTATGCCTTCATTATTTGCATATTAGTTTCACGTGTTGAGAGTGTTACCTGAGGAGACAGAGCAGCCTGGTTCCGGAGCAGAGCCTGGCACAGAGGCTGCTGGTGTTTCTGGTAAACATAAGCAAACCGAAGCACGTCCTTTTTATTCGCCACCGCAAAATCCAAGAATGCCTTATTCCCAGAGACAAAAGACTCATCCTGGTCTGTGATCAGTAGAACACAGAACCTGCAGACAAAAAAGACAGATAAATGTAAGAAATAAAATGTACAAGAAACTACTGTATATAACTCTATAAAACTAGCTGCACCATTTGGGAAAAAATATCTGTGATCTTTCTGCAAATTATTACAACTATGATTGAATTTGTGATGTATGTTTGATTAGGAGTATTTTGTTAAAAGTTCACATGAACTGTTCATATGAACTGAAACTAACACAAGAATCACATTTCAGAGCATGTTTGTACAGATCTAAACTATAAGAATAGTAGGGAAACAGGTATTAGATCCACCAAAATGTAGGATACCAGCATCATACTGATGCATCCCTACAGAAAAAAAGAGTTTTATTGTCTATGCATCATTATAGACAATACATTAATCAAGTTTGTTGTTTGTGGAGGAAATTATTGTACCTTAAAAATGGCAACATTTGTAATGAATCTTGCAGCCCAACCTCCTAGCGAATCATTTAAATATTTTGCAGATGTGATCACAGAAGATCTGTAACATCAATGTTACAACAATGCAATGAATTACAATTATGATGTGCAAATTGTGCATGTATTGTACATGTGTACATGTATATTATGCACATGACACTTTTATTCTGTGCCTGTACCTACCCAATGCCCAGAAAGGTTCTAAATTAACTTTACTGTATTGTGGAAAAAAAGGCAAAAAGAAACTGCCAAAGAAATCTACATATAAGAGGTTAGGCCATAACTGCCACAAGTAAATTCTACATGTTAATATAAAACGTGAAGTCTGTTCCCATTTTTTCAAATAAGATTTCACAAAGAAGAGTTAACTGAAATGTGTGAATCATTTTTGCCTCTCTTGTACAGCTGGGACAATATTAATATTAGTTTCACTCTCATTACTGCTGTGTAGCGTGTAAAGTCGTACTTCCTGCGTCGGTGGAACTGTTTTATGGGGCAGAGCTCGTCGAAAAGCTGCTGATTCACCAGACGAGGGACCTGCAGGAACTTATTATTGGACACAAACTCATCCATGATCTGCTTCTTCATCCCCCGAGCCTGAAACACACAGAACACAGGGGAACAGGGGAAACAGAGGGAATGTTAACAATTTTGATAATAGCATTTATTTTATGTATTTGTTAATTTATTTAGCACTTGTTAAAGGTCCTATATTACACAAAATGGACTCTTGTGAGCTTTAAGCCAGTGATGATGCTGTCACCTCATCAAAAACAGACTTGTGCTTTGTTCACAGGTTTGAGTAACCCTTTATTATTAGTCTGTCTACATCTCCAAAAGCTCAAAATGGGTTCCACCTTGTGATGTCATGAAGCAGTAGTTATCAAGTGAACAGCCATCTTTTATCTTTAGTTCAGAGTTTGTCAGTTCCAGGGCTGAAATGATCCAAATGATTCTAGTGAAGGTGCATGAAGTTAAAAAACATAATGGAGCTGGCTTGTTTGATAGCATAATGATCCATGGGTAGATTATAACAAAATAGTACATTATGTAAACTGTGTAATAAAAGTGTGAATATATTTCCATAAACAAGTGTATAAGATCTTTTGAATAGTGTTTTTGTACCATTACCTGTATGATGTCCACAGGGTTGAGGGTATCCTCCTTAAACAGCAGCATGGTGGGAGCGTACGTGTTGATGTTAAATTGACGCAGCAGACGAGTGTTGTGAGTCGCTCCTTGATCCACGTATCCAAAGCGCACATACTCTCTGAAGGAAAACGCCGTCAGCTGAACAAATGAAACAAAGATTATGTTATCTGGAATGTTTTGCATTTGGTGCCATCAAGCCAACTTATACATCACATTTGTGGAGAGACAAGCCTGAAAACAGTAAGAATGAATATATTTTTTAGGTTATTTTAAGCAATAATACAACAATAATGCAAGATAGACAAGTATAGTCGCATAGGGTGAAACAATCTTGTCAAAGCAGTAACATCTCTATAGAAGCAAGCAGAAAGCAGACCCTCCATCAGAAAAGTTAGACAGGGCACCTTTAAGTGTTGAGCCTCTTTATGTATCAAAAAACAAATTGATATCACTTCTTCTACCATCTTCTACATGAAAATGTTTTCATTATGCCTTGGGTAAAAGTTAATAAAAAACATTATTCTAGTACAGGGGTCTCCAACCAGCAGCTCTGGATTTCTGAATTATACATATTGTGCTGAATGACTCAAATTTGATGAACTACCATTGTAAAAGTATAATTTTGATGCCTAACTTTGTGCACCAATAAATGGCTAAAGGTTTGTGTTTTATAGGTATGTAACTGTTCCCCATCTAAGGCCTTCCGATGCTTAATTTCTTGTAAAGGTAAAGGTAAGTAAGTAAAGGTAGCTCTCTGGAAGAAAAAAGGTTGGAGACCCCTGTCCTAGTATTTTTGGTCGTGTACCTTATAGAGCAGTGGGACCACAGGGACCTGGTCAAACAGAAGGACACTAGGTTTGTTCTCCTCCTGCCAGGCGTCCAGGAACCAC